TATATTGAGGTGAGAGTCGTCGTGCACGTCGTTCCTCGACCCTGACCCTATTTCCCCGCGTGCGGGTTTTATTTTTCGCTCAGCATCTCTTCCGCGCGCTCCGATGGCCTGACCGATATACGGCTTTTACCTGCTACAATACATATATACATATACATACCTAAATATGCACTACAGGGTATGAAGTTGCACACTGTCTCTTTTCGAGCTCGCGAAATTAAATTGTTCGTTCTTGTACGTATACAGAATGAGCAGAGGCTCTTCTTATCTTTTTTTTTTTTTTTTCCTCTCGCGCGAAATAATTGGAATACCCTTTTGTTTTTCGTCTCGGTAGGCTTTTATTATTTTTTGCGGGGAATTTTCGCCTACTTTTTTTTTCTTTTCCTCGGCATCGGTTCGTTTCTTTTCCGTACGGGTGTGTGCCTTCGTTATCATATTATAATTTTCTGCTCCGACGGACGGACTTGGGCACGGATGGTTTTTCCATTTTTTGCTGATGCTTTTTATTTGTGATTAAAAAAAAAATGGTTTTTTTTTAACTACTCCTTTTAACCCAGTCTTTGAGAAAAATTTTTCTAACATAAACAATGCACCAAAATTTAAAAGAAAATATCAACTTGGAACAAAAAAAAAAAAAAAAACCGAGTCAAAAAGCATTTGACAAAGTATTTAGCTAACTGATTCCCAAAATTTTATACAACAAATGTATTTTACACTTGTCTGCCAGACAAACTTTTTTTCTCCGTATTTTATTGTAAATAATGATAAATAAAATTCATTTTTCAGCATAAAGAACGCACTTTTTTCAGGTAAAAAAAATAAAAACCCCTTTCTTTAAAGTATTCAAAGAAACAAAATCTATGAAAAATAATTGTGCCAAGTCTGCCGATGGACTTGTATGGTATACGAGTTCGTTCGATTTGTACACTTACTGCAAATGCAATCATTTCCGAGATCAATTCAGTATAATAAGAACACAGTTTTTTTTTATAAGCGACAGCTTCATTTAAATCGCAAATGCCACCTGGTTATTTATAGTCCCGGGACCATCACGAGCAAATTGTTCGCTGCAATTTGTCCGTACGTCAGCCGTGTGTGTATGGCTCGACGCTGCCATGCCTCAAAAAATCAACGAGCTATTGTTTTGCGTTCGTCCGTGTCATCGTGAAAGCGCGGCGCGATAGCTTTTTTATTCGAACGACAATACCGTGGTAATCGACGCCCGGCCAACGGGAAATTCTCTGCTTCGTTGCAAATAACCGATCGATCGTCCGTCCATACCATAAAAGCCCGCGAGAGAACATACGCGTCTGCAATTTACATACGGTTTGAGAATAATTTTTAAAAGTGCACGGGCGGGAGAGGACATTGTTTCTTACTAATTAAAAATTTCGTTAAACTATATAATTAAAAGCATCAATTTAACGCATGAAAGTGAAAATTGGATAACAATAGGTTTCCCCCTTACTAAGTATAGGCGTTAAAGAGTAAGGCACAACAATTTTTTATTTTCTTTTATTTTCATTCGACTTTGATTCCGCAATGAAAAATGACCCCAATTGTTTGCGCGATAAAAGTATTTAAAACTAATTGTACGACAGCCCTTTGTAAAATTGTTCATCACGACGATAAATGAACCCCTCAATACTGGAATAGGATGGTAATTAAAAGTTTTCGAATTATTTTGGAGAGTTACTTTTCTAATAACTAAAATCAGATCTCCCAGAATGGAGATCAAGTGCAAATCAAAAAGTTTGAGATATTTGATTGAATTTTTTTTTTTCCAATAACCAATATCTAAAAGTATGTAGAATGCCAATTTTAAAGAAATTACGTTATTACTAACTTAAAATATCCTTCTAAAGTAATCATGCGTTTAAAAAAATTAGCTAAAAATTGCGTTTTGTTATTATCGGAATAATAAGTTTTCATTCCTCATTCAAGATGATTTTTTTTAATTTTTTCATCAGTTCAATTCCATTTATCCATGAGTGGAGAACCTTGACGTGCAATTCACCAACCGCAGAGCAACATTCATCATCACCGTCAGTACCAGGACACAGAAAAAAAAAAGAAAAACAAAAGTCCAGCAACGATACATTACATTGCACGCTTGGCTTCATTTTTTTTTCATAATGAAACCATTTCTATTTCTAAAGTGCACTCACAAGCCATGGGAGGTTACTCGTGCACCGCGTACGAATTGACGTGGTTTACATTCCGAATTTTTATCGAGGATTTGCTAAAGAAAGTTCAGATCAAATTCATCGATGGTGTGAATCCATGTGCAAAAATGAGTTACAATTTATTGACTATTTCAATAACGTGAATCTTATGAGATCAAAGCCGTTTTTTTTTTTTAGCAAAATAAAAAAGTCTATATAATATATGCAAAGTATACTGTTTAGTATACAGTGAACAAAAATTTTCGCAAATCGTGTCAAGTGCGTGCATTTCTTTTTATTCTCAAACCATTATTATTTTCTGGATTGTAGAGAAAAATAACTGAGAAAAAGTGCCATTTTCAAATTTACGTTATTTCGCGATAAAAAAAAAAAAAAAAAAAAAATCTCAACTTTTTCAAATCCATTGCAGACCATTTTTCTTCCTTTACCGCGTAATCTCATAATACTCCATTCTTTCAGCTGGACTGCGCAAACCGGCTCTCTCATAAATGGCACCCTACACGAAAACGGGGGTCAATGAATTCTCGAGCCCGATTTCCCATACGAGCTCCCGGCGAATTATACCGTATCGCGGCATTAAAAGTGCCATCCATCAAAAAGCTCACCACCGGTGTCAATATTTACATCGGTCGCGTCAGCAGGCATGAACATTGCGTCGGACAAAGGTCCACTGGAAATATCACTCATGCTGCGTCAACCGAAAATAATACGAAAATACAACTGTTGGAAAGCAGCGTTCGGGTTGTAAATCCTCAAACTCCCCGGGGAAAAGGTAACCTCGAGAGGTCAAAGAGGGAAGAGGAGAAAATGAGCGGAACAATCGCCGAGTCAGCTGCGGCGAGTGGAAAAGCGTCATCGCCATCGGGGGGGAACCACCGCAACCCGCGCAATTAATTCGGTTATGGTCGCGTACGTGTCCCCGGCGTCGCCTCTTCTCGCCCGTACAGCTCACAAATAATCAAAGAGAAGCGTTTTTTTATTACATCATGTAACGGAAGCTCTTTAACATTTTTTTTGGCGTTGCACGATGATTGGGCGTTGAATGATCCGATAAAACAATTAAACAGCCGATTTATCATCGGATAGTATACGTTGGTCATACATTTTTTATGCGTGTAGACAAGGGCGAGTTTAATGATTGAAGGCCTCGATGGGTGTGTCGAAATAATCAATCGAGTGTTTTTCATTGGTATAACCGCCAGCCGTGGGGATGAATATTTAACGATTTAATTGAGAGACGCGCGGAGGGGCGTTGATATCGGGAAACGCGCGGTTCGACGTGTATATAGGCATGTATATGCATGGGAATGGAAATTAAACACTATGAATTTTCGCGGAGCACCCGGTTGCTCATCTATCTTCATCCTAACGATTTACGACCTGCTGGGCTACGGTTGTGTCCGTACACGTATACACCCACGTTGTGCATTGTTTGCAACGCGAAAAGGCTCGGGAATAAATATTGTCTTGTTTCTTGGCTCACACCAAAATCACAGGGGTATGCGGTATGTGTGCAATCGAGGCTTTCATCTTTTCGGGCGAGACTGAAGTTTTTTTTGTTTTTTTTTTTTGTGTCTTCTTTTCTTCCTCTGACTCTGGAATGACTTTCGCGAACTCGGCATTTGTTTCTGTGTCGTTCCTTTTCGTTGGAAGTGTTGGGGTAAGGATTTTTTTGCACGTGTTACCTAAATAAATATACTTATATGTTGTTTCCAAAAACAGTCTTCTTTTATGATTTGCGCTTTGTCTTGTAGATTAACTAAAAATTATTTTACACGTAAACAAAATCGTAAAGAAAACGAGAAAAAAAAAAAAAAAAAAAAATAGATTTATCCACCAAAACCCCCAATTTTTCCAAGATTGACGAGTGAAATGGTAAGGATCTTTTTTATGATTCGGTTTACGTAATCGAAATGTAATGACGTTAGGTTTTAGTTGATACACCGTCTCACGCGATACGAATAATAAATTCGTCGATTTGTCTTGTCATCGTTAATGTAAAAAATAAAAAAGAAATCGAGACACCTGTTTGTTTTTTAACAGAAAAAAAGTGATAAACCACCTCTGATAATGAAGTTAGAAAAAAAAGAAAACGTAACTCGAAGAGAAGGTACTTGAAGAGGAAGAAATGGAACTGAAGTACGTCAACTTGGTAAAAAAAAAAAATTTCAAAGAAAGTTGTATTAAAAAAAAAAAAAGAAAAAAAAAACAGAAAAAGGTGGAGAAAATCCTACCTTTGCGAAATAAAAAACGTAACAAAAAGGAAAAAAAAATAAAAAAGCTGGCGAGTGTCGGTGGCATGTGGCGCTTGGCAAGCAAATTTCTCACATTTTGCAAATTCGACGAGCAGGCTGTACCCCTTTATTTATTTTTTTTTTGTTTTTGTTTCTCTCGTTCTCCGTATAAGCAGCAGCTGGCACATACACACGCTACATTCAAGCGCGTCATCGCAGATATGCAAGCGCGGGCGTAATATAAGTACAGGAGTTTTCGGTCGGTGCCTCCCGCGCCACATAAATCCGTCAGCTTTTATATACGTATACGTGTGTACCCGAGGTACGTCGTTACCTCTCTTGTGTTGGTTGATGGTGCGCGGAATTTTGAACACTGCTGACAAAGGAAAAGGGAAATAAGGAGGATTTAATTCCTGAGATGAAACACCCGCGGAGTGGCGGAAAGACCATTTGGAACTTTTTTATGTCCCGCGATGTGATTTTTCTTTGAGAATTGTCTCCCAAAGTCGAGGACTCTATAGTTTCGAAACCGAAGCTGTAAGTGTGTAATGGCATTATTTTTTTTTTTTGTCGATTCCAGACAACTACTACGTCGAAGGGGAAGGGGAAGAGGACACATCTGAGATCGAGAGCATCATGCAGAACGCGGTAGTCGTCAAGTTGGCGCACAAGCGCTACGCCAAGAACTTACCACCGGTCCTCGATGGCCTCAACATGACCGTGCCTCGAGGTTGCATGTAAGTTGCAATTGTACCGTTCACTTTTATTTTTTCCTCGATATCTCCACTCTTTCAGCCAAATGGAATTTTCGTGCTATTTTTTATGGTGGTGATGATGACTATCTCAGGTCTATGGGCACAATCGTTTTGGGCATTGCTAAAAAACACTCAAAAAAGTAAAAATATTGTCACTCTCAATTTCTTTTGCTCAATTATTATTATATTTTTTTAATGCATTGTCTTTGCTGGAGAATTTTCCAACACAAAAACCGCATTAAACTTTTGACAAAAAATTAAATTAAAAAAAAAAAAAACAGAAAAGAAAAATGGTAAAAGTAACGCAAGTCTGATAACAATAATTGTTGCAACACGAAGTATGAGCTACGAAACCATAAAAAGTGTTATTACGTTTTTTAATAAGCGTATACGGAATAAAAGCTGTAAAACACACGCAACACCGACGAAACACGTAAGCACAGCAAACCGCGAGCAATCGTGAATTCATGTTCAGTCCGATCCCCGGGGCGTTTAACTGCAGATAGCCTCCATATGAATGAATATTTCCCAAAATCTTGAAAACAAATTAAACGCGCAGTTATACCAATATATCCCATGTTATACCCACGTGTACGTGACGAGCAAAGCAAACAAGTAAAAGTTATCGATCGATTCGACTGTACGGTTGTTTCAATTATTTCTCGGGTCGGACACGCTAAATCCATCCAATATTTCGATGATAAAACGCTCGGCGATGCCGAATTTCCCGACCCTGCTCATCGCGGGTAGTTTATATGCACTTGTAATGCCACTGCTGAGCTTTTGCAGCTTATACGCGCGTACAAGTATATTATATACACAAATGCCAGGTACCATGTAAACACGGAAGTCATCGTCCAACGCAATATTCGAGAGCGGTAATTTATTGAGCGATTCGTACACCCCCCCGATTTTTCTTGTCACCTCTATCACGCATGAAAACACAGGTCAGTATACACCTAAGCTGTTACAATTTGAAGGGAGAGCAAAAATAAAACATTTCACTCCCTCGTCCCCCGAATCAATAAATAATTGAGAAACCCTTTTTTCCTGCGCTGTGCGTGCAACTGAAAAAAAAGCCAATTTCCATAACTTTTCAATAAAAACTTTCCATCGCGATGAAATGGATGGAAAAAAAAAAAAATAAAAAAAATAAATAAATAAAACCAAAAAATTGAATCCTCTCTTTCCCCTCAGCTACGGACTGTTGGGCGCAAGCGGGTGCGGCAAAACGACCCTTCTCTCGTGCGTGGTGGGCGTGCGAACGCTCGACAGCGGCGAGCTCTGGGTGCTGGGAGGCAAGCCCGGGCAAAAGGACTCGGGGGTGCCCGGGCCCAGGGTCGGCTACATGCCCCAGGAAATATCCCTCGTCAAGGAGTTCTCGGTCATCGGGGCGCTGTACTACTTCGGGAGGATCAACGGCCTCGACGAGGAAGTCATCGGTGAGCACACTCATTTTTGTTTGCCATTACGGTATAAATATACACACGCGAAACTGCAACGAGATGTGCACGAATAAGCCCTCGGAAAAAAAGAGGCGGGCAGCACTTGAAATTCATTCGCAAGAGATAACATTTGCGGGCTGCAATTGAATTGCCCCACCTCTTGAGGAGCACAGAGCTCAAACAAACAAAAAAAATCATCGGATGCGTATAGATACGTGCTAGTTCGACGTGATTTGTTTGCCGGTAGACGAGAGGTTCGAGTTTTTCTCGGAGCTGCTGGAGCTACCCTTCAAGGACAAACTCGTCAAGGACATCAGCGGCGGCCAACAGAGGCGGGTCTCACTGGCCGCGGCTCTCATGCACCGACCGGAGCTCCTCATCCTCGACGAGCCCACCGTCGGCTTGGACCCGATTTTACGGGAGAAGCAAGTATACCTTTTCTTCTTCCTCTTCTTTTCTTTTTCTATCCGACACGAGTATAGGTACAGGTCGTAGAAAGAAGCTTTTTTTTTTTTTTTTTTTCCTATTCGAGTGGGTGACTGAGAGATCAACGAGTATACAGGTTTGGCGTACATCAAAAGTTCCGTGCATATTATGTATAGTTTCGGAAAAATATGTTAGATCGATGCGAGCTACGCAACGAAGCCCGTAACATTGCGAACAAATGCCGAGAGGAAAACCGTCAATAGCAGGAGAGTGAAAAAGGGGTTGGGAGGGTGAGGTATATAGTACAACAGTAGGTGTACTTATATAACGAATCCTTGGAATTGCAGGATTTGGAACTACTTGGTGAAAGTGGCCCAGGAGGAGGACATAGCCGTCATCGTGACGACTCACTACATCGAGGAAGCCAAAAAAGCCCACATAGTACGTAATACACGGGATATATAATATATATATAATATATGTGGATATAATATGTGATGTGTACTTAATGTATGATTTTGTTAAAAAAAAGCCAATGAGACGATTGCGTTGTTGATTTGTATAGATCGGACTGATGCGGCACGGCCAACTGTTGGCCGAGACGTCGCCCACCGCGCTGCTCGCCGCGTACCAGTGCGCCTCCCTCGAGGAGGCCTTCCTGATCCTGAGCAAGCGGCAAAACAACGCCAAGACGAGCGTCAACGAGACGAGGATCGCGCAAACCGCCACGGCCAACCAAGCGGCGCTTTCGTCCCGAAAAGACCCTCGCGGGAGCACCGAGGTAAGCCATATCCTTTTCCCACGCGTCGTCACTGTATTAATGCCTACTTGCGCGTGTCCGGCAGTTCGTCACGGGCAGCGAGAAACAATTGCTCGACAATCCAAAGAGGATCAAGAAGCGCTCGGCTAATCCGTTCACGGCCGCCTCCGGCAAGATATTCAAAGCTCTGCTGATTAAAAACATATTGCAATTCGTACGGCATCCAAGGTAAAGGGAATCGGCTTTTATTCCCCGTACCATTTTTTTTTTTCTTCCATCCCTTCCTTTACTCGTGTATTATAGAGTGGCTTTACAAAGGATATGCGAGGATATGGGTGACAAAGTGGTCGGGTGAACGAAGAAAGTGTGGGGCTAAAGTATGAAAATTCAATGTTTTTTTTTTTTTTTTTTTTTAATTATAGTGAAGAAGAAGATAAAAAAAGGTTCCGTTGTGTACCAGAACAGTTGCAGCTTTTATCGAGTGCATAACCGATTCACGTCGATCCGCGCACAAATACTCGGCTTCGATGTAGCCATACACGTGAAAAAAAAAAAAAGAGATTTTTTCCTGCCAATAAATTCAATAAATCTGAAAAGCTCAGCTCTCGAAGAAGTGACACCGCTGTTCTTAAATCCACTCCAAGTGTAATGCTGAGGGTGCAGTTAAGTGTATATGAGCATCGGCTTAGCTTGAAAAATGTACGATACATACAGTTAATAATGTTTTCAATAGTGATAAATGACAAAAAATATACATAAATTTTGACCGAGAGATTACTTTAAACGAACGTTGTTTCAGATCATGAAGCAGGCAATTACTTATGTAAAAAAAAAAAAAAAAAAAATCCAAGAAAGCACTGCATATTTTTTGTTGGGATGTTGAACACGAGTTCCAAAAGCCCAAATTGCTCCATCGGTTTATGCTTCTTCACACTGTATATAGTATTGTTTTTGAAGCGGTTCATTATTACAGACCTTGACTTACTGTCGGCGGCTCTAAGGAATATCAAGCATACAATGAAACATTAAAACACTTTCGGGATGCGAAACGACATATCATTTTAGCATAGATGTTGTACCACTAGATTAGTATAGAAAAAAAAAAGAACTAAACAATTCAAGTATAATTACATGACCGTTCGTTTAGCATGGTAAAAAATTACAATAGCTCAGGAGCACTACACTGTCGTCTTCATTTTAGTCCATAAATTAACACTGGCTTTGAAAATTTTATTTATTTATTTTTTCCATTTTAATACACTAATGTATCAACACAGTCGTACTCCCCAAAGTCATCCATATAAATACGTAACCTTTGAAAAGTACATTTGAAAATTGGGTCAACTTGGATGTAAAGTCGACAAAAAAAGAGTTTCACATGAAAAAAATTCGCCGATGCTTTTACGGTTGCAGCGTGGTGGCCTTCGCCTTTATCTTCCCGCTGATACAGGTGACGTTGTTCTTCTACACGGTAGGCAACGATCCCCGAGGCATCGTTATAAACGTCGTCAACGACGAAGCTGGTAACTGCCGCGACGGCACCTACACCGGCACTGTACTTTACTCGAAGGAGCAGCGCCAGTGCGAGTACATAGACATGAGTTGCCGATTTTTGCACGGCTTTGATCAAAAAATCATAGTCAAGGTACCCTTTTATTGCATCGAAACAACTTGGGAAGGAAAAAAAAAAAAAGAAATCTTGTGATTCACCCCAGAATCGTCGATTTACAGAAATACCACGACTCCATGGCCGAGGCGACGGACGAGGTGTATCGAGGCAAGGCCGCCGGGACGATGTACTTTGCCAAGAACTTCTCCAAGGCGCTGATGATGAGGCGCGAGAGCTTTTACACGATTAAGAAATTAGAGGGCAGCCTCTCGGCCAGCGAAATACAAACGACTCTAGACATGAGCAGTGAGTTTTCACCTATACTTAAATACTAAACCTAGAAAAAAAACCCCACATTTTCTAACGTTATAACGTACAATTGTTCCAAAGAGTTTCAAAAAGGTGGCTGTTTTTTTTTTTTTTTTTTTTTTTTTTTTGAGTAAAAACTATTGCTGTCTTTTTTAGGGGCTTTCGTCCAAGTGATGCGTAATTTTTAGTCACAACAAGCAGTTGACAGTTACTACAAAAATGTATTTAAAGTTTTTGAAACGTATAGTGCGCGTTTGCTATGTAATTTATATCGTAAATAATGGGATCTCTGTGCGTGTTTTTTGTTAAAAGATCAACCGATCGGCATATTCCTGCAAACGGCTCTGTTCGATCGTTTCGTCGAGGTGTACAAGGAAATCGTTGCCACCTGCGATTTACCAAGGAAGTTCGTCCAGCCACCGATTAATGTACGTATACTATTGTATGCCGTCAATGTGTCGGTTGATCAACCGTCCATTTTTAATTGGATTTGTATTTTTTGTTTCAAGTTCGAGGAGCCGATTTACGGAGCCATGGACCGAAAGTACTCGAATTTCATTGCACCTGGATTCATACTCACGTGAGAATATTTTCCATCTAATACGTGTTTTAAAAGTCTGTGACATTTTTTTTTTTTTAATTTGACATTGCCATTGATATAACGTTCAGGATAACATTCTTCCTGGCAACGGCTGTCTCGTCCTCGATTATAATCGCGGACAAAGCCGAAGGCGTTTGGGATCGCAGTCTGGTGCAAGGTAATGATACAATCACATGTTAATGCTTCTCACATGTGAAAACTTAGTTTAACATCCAAACGTCTGGTCGTGATGCTGAGATACAGCTATTGGGTTTATCGAGTACTGGTCTGAAAAAAAGTAACAATAAATAATGCTGCAACAAGAGACAAAAGTTGTCCTTAGCTTCACGATTGCGATTCCCGTTGAGAAAAATAAATTTTAAGCTATTCAAGCCTGTCTATAATAAGAGAGCCTTATTGAACAATACAAAATATATTTTTCGTTAGCGAAGCTTTTATTCAGCTCTCGGTATTATGGACTTGAAAAAAAAATTTTGTCGTACCTTGGGGACACGACCTTTCGGTCTTGGTAAAAAAAATGACGTTCGCTACTCTATAGCTTAAATGTATACTCTCATCGTGCCCTTCAGGCTTTAAAATAGCACTTTGCGTTTCAGTGACGAGAACTATTGTGTTTGCCCTTTACTCTTGAAAAAATAATTTTTTTTTGTTTTTCTTAAGTATACCAAAAGTAAATTTATTACATTTACATGACAGTTACAATTAAAGTTTGAAAAATGCATTATAAATCATCTTTAACAACATCAAAAAACGTAATAACCGCAATCGCAAAGTTCGATATCTGCATTATGAGATTAGGAAGAATAAATAAATAAATTGAACGTGCCAAAAAATCCATAATTTTTGGTTCCCCAACGAATTTTTCATTGAATTCGTATATACAAATACCATCGGCGAAGAAACGCAAATTCCTTTATAAGAGGTGATGTTTTCATTCGTTTTCCCCCTCCACTGGGGCGGGTCATCCTGTTTTCGCGAAAGAACCGCGGCTCTCGAGAGTTTTAATGAAAATTAAGGCGCCGGTGCGCCCGGAAACCCCGAGAAAGTTCCAAGACGGGGTGGGGGCGAGGAGACGCGGTTCAAACGAGCTGCAGTAATTCAATCGTACGGGTGCGATTATTCAATTAGCCGCTCCACCCCAGCTCTCAAGTGCATTAAAACTTTACGGCTATTGGTCTGATGGAACTCCGCAACTTTGTTGAAACAAACGAAGGATGAAAACAAAGTGTGGGCCTAAGCGCGTATAATCCTCGAGGAAATAAGTACTCCTTTTTTTTTTTTTTTTTTTGTTTTCAATTTTACAGGGGTCACGACCTGGGAAATACTCGCGTCCCACTTGTTCACCCAACTCTTGATGGTTTTCATCCAAGTGAGCGTAGTGCTGGGCATTACTTTCGGCCATTTCAACCTACCCTGCGAGGGACAGTTCATCGTGATCGTTGTCCTGGTTTTTGTCACGGGAGTATGCGGGTTGTGCTACGGTTAGTGCTTTCGTCCATACCATGTCATTCAGTATAAAATGGATTGATAATTTTTCCTTTTTCTCTTATACGTGACCACAGGTTTTCTCATATCGGTGTACTGCACGTCTCAGACGGTGGCCAACTTCATAGCGACGGGAAGCTTCTACCCAATCATACTGTTGAGCGGTAGGCCGATGCTCATTTTTTATTTTGACCAATTTTATTTTGTGATCTGCATTAACGATCTTTCAGGTGCCATTTGGCCTCTGGAAGGTATGTCGAATTACCTGCGCTGGGTGAGCTATTTAATGCCAACGACCGTAGCCACGTACTCGTTGCGCTGTGTAATGGACAAGGGCTACGCTTTCACCCATTTTGACGTCTACAGCGGCTTCATCGTGATAATGTCCTGGACTGTTGGCACGATTGTGGCAAGTTTCATCGGCATCAGGAAAATAATGACGTAATTTCCCGGAGATGCTGTAAATTTAGGAAATTTCTTCTTTTTTTTTTTTCCACTGTGAGCGTGGAAAATCTCGAGGGAGGAATGGGGATGGGATCGTTTTCCAAAGCTTTTCGTAGACTCGTTTCGAAAAGTTTGTTTTCATCACTTGAGACGTAGGTTTGAATTTTTTTCAAAATGAGGATCGTTATGTACCTACAATCATCTGGCCGGGAGAGGGGAATGTAACATTTTTTTTTTCTTTTTGCGATTTTGTATTGAGATGCATAGAAAAAGGTGATACTTGTCGGTTGTGTAGCGTGACGTTTTTTATGTGAATTAGTGCCAATTGTTTACTCGTAAACGAACAAAGCGATAGAAGATTGTGGATATGTTTTTGTTGAATTTTTGTTTTCCCCCCATCAAAAGTTAATGCAATTTGACAATCAGTAGACAATTCTAAAGGTTAAAGCAATTTCAAGTAGAAAAGAAATCTTGCCAATTTATCAACCGACTGTCGCAATTACTATTTACAAACAGGGTTGTTTTGCATTGTAAGATACATCGTAAGATTTTTTTCAGCCACCTGGGGATGCTGGAAACATGTTTTTTTTTATCATTGTTGTTAGCGATAATTTATCACTGTAAATTGTTTATGATAAATTTATTTTTACTTTTTATAAGCATTATATAAGTGGCAAAGACAAATACAGCCATTGAAAACAATTATTTTACACTCGTTTCAATTTTAAATAGCAATTTAATCATTATCAATTTCTTTATTACTGTTACTTTAGTTGTTACTATTTTAAATGGAATTTTTTGGTAATATTAATTTGACAACGCTAGTTTGCTTTTGTCTACAAAAAATCAACAAGTAAATTTAACGTAATAGATTTTGTAATGTAATAAATAAGAATATGTAAGGAGAAGATCCATCTTCTTATTTTAATATGTCTCTAGTCAGAAAAAAAAGTAACGTAACATACACACGCAATTTTTTCCTGTATGAATTAGCAGACACTATTTTTTTTATTATTTCAATTTTATATGTATATTTATCAGATATCACTCTAATTATACAAGGTCGATTTAAAATAAACAATTTATAGGCTCAGTCACAAACGTTGGAAGTCTGCATTGTGTAAGCTTGAAAATTTGTAAATAAATTAAACAATAAAATAAAATAATTTTTACCATATTCTGATGAGGCTCCATTTCATTAGTATATCCATTGAAATTCCATGAAAAAACAAACAATAATTATATTACAACAAGATATGTAGATGAAGGATAAAAAAAAAAAAAATAATCAAGTCCATGTTTGCTTTATAAATGTACAGGTTTTTTTAATTCAATATCATTTTTCCACCTGCGTACACCTCCATCGAATAAACTCCACATATACACATGAGAACATGTCCTTTGTTACATGTTCCACTTGTTAATCATGTCATCCTATCATATTATGGTACAAACATATACAATATACAACATATAAACTATACGATTACATTCAGCAAATCTTTCAGTCCGAGATTTTTTGTCTTGGCAGGGGACAAAAAAAAACACTATTCGAAAGACGCGTTACCTCGGATACAGTATTAAACTCGTTTGCGAGGACATGAAAATATAGCGTTCACGCACACGTTCACGGGCAATGGAAAATCGATCGTTTGAATTTTCATTCGTTCAGTCGGGCTTATTATTCTAGACTTTTGTTTTCTTCGATCAAACCTTTATCATAAAGTACAAATGCAGTACAACGAGTGTTGCACGTAAAAATACACAAATCATCTAGCACCAAGACTCAAAATGGTCTAAAAAATATAAGGCTTCAACCATAACTTTCTTAATTACACGATCTATGTGCTGGTCACTCGTTTAGAAATTTATCATTTGATTTTCGAACAAACATATACACATACGCTACAGCTATTTTAATTCATCATATTATATAAAGGTTTAGTAAAAAGTAAGAAAAATGTATATCCATGCGTGCATTCAAAGTAAGAAAATAATCATCATTCCCACAGAGGTACGAAAACATGCTCACGTATCCCTTAAACTATGCCAGCTTGCTTTTTATTAATTTATAAACACGATGGATGTGGGTCAACTTTTCGATGACGGTTATTTTGACTTGATGTATGATTCCATGGGCCAAATGGTAGAGATGATGTGTAAGGCTCGCAAGCACGCGCACGTGACGTTAAATAAACGAAAAAATGTGTAATGTAGGTGTTCCAATTTTCGTCGTATTTTTGCACTCGTGACCAAATGAAACGAAAAAAAAAAAAAAAATGTCTCTCGTATCCCTGGCGGTGAAGGAAGAAAAAGAGGATGCTCAAATGCGTATTTTAATCGTAAAATCGACGCAGTCGACGCTGTGCGTGACCCGCACCCTCCGCGTCTTGTTCGCACCCGGGTGGGGTCCGTGTCTCCTCTGCGGCTGTTGTCGCTCCTTGCGATGCTCATCCCGCGAGGGAGCACCCCGTGCTGCATTCACGGCGACGATACGCTCGAAAAGCTCCCGGGCGCGGCTCTTCCCGGCAGCCCAAGTTTTCACTCTGTAACGTTCTGTGGACGAAAAAAAACAACAACAACAACAACAACAACAAACGCACATCGGAAAAAAAAACCACCTTCTCTCAAGTGAAGTTAAAGCGGCGCAAAGCACCACTTTTTCCTCCTTTGACCTCTTTATTGCCGTGCATGCATATAATGTAACGTTGTACGTGCAGCGCGCATGGGAAGAGAGAGAGAGAGAGAGCTCGTGCCCTCAAAGCGCACCCACACAGGATGAGTGTACAGGTATAGGGGGCAGGGAGGGATGGGGGTGTATTCGCTGCAATCGGATTTGTGCTCCACCGAGAAAGCGACCAAACGAGGATAGGAAGGAAGGAGATAGAAATGTTTTGCGCTCACGGGGGGGATGAAAATAACGATGGCCTTTGTGCGGGGGGATATACAAGCGGAGCTTTTCTCATATTATACGAGCTGGCTTGCGACGCTGCCGTCTTTCGATGCCGCTGCTCTTTGGGATTTTCGATGTATTTATCGTTATTGGAATACGTTTCGGGGTTCAAATGATTTAGCGAATAGGGGGGGGGGACATTGGAGTCGGATGGAAAAGCTAATCCAACTATTACGGTGATTTCTTGTTTTTAAAATATAGTTTTTTTTTTTTGCGATTGGTCTTTATTTTTTCGTGTTTGCTTCCTAAAAAGTTGCATGAAAGCAAAAAGAATATTTACCGTCAATGAAAAAAAAAAAAAAAAAAAACCACATTTCATTTAATAAACCATAATATTGGTAATGCGAACATCAACGCATACAGGATGAAGAACATGGATTATAAAAATAACAAGGATTGATCTTTAAAAAGGCATAATCAGTCAACTAAGAGCAACAACATAGACACGAAAGGAGAAATGAAAAGAATAGAAAACAGCGTATGTGTGTCATTCCGTCATATAGTGGAAGCGCCTCTTTTTTTTTCTGCCACTTTTAGCAACGCAAAAGCACAATACGCGTCTACCGTACATACTGTGTAACATATATAAATGTCTATTTTGAACGCCGTCGATTAGCTAATTGACATTTACGAAAAATTCACTATATTTGTCTCTCACATGCTAAAATCCATACAAATCACACGAGTAAACAAAATCACTTGCTGGAAATTTTCAGCAGCTCATTGCGAAAAAACAGAAAAACAGAAAAAAAAAAAAAAAACTTTAGAGGGTAGTTTTTTATACTAATTAAAGGCAGTTAGGTCTCTCATGCAATACTCATACATATGAAACGAGTAGGGGAGTAGGGTCGAAATTTCGCAAATGAAATAACGTAAAATGTCCATGGGATTAGAAACGAATTACACGCGCTCCTTATCTGCTTAAAGCACTTTTGCAGTGAGAAGACTGTTAATTCCGCATTGGCACTGACATACTTACATTCTCTCCCGTCTCCCGTTTAATCTCACACACGAGAGTATAAATTTCACGCTCAAGTGCAGTCCTAGATGCTTTTCGTTCCGACAAACGGAGATAAGGTTCCCTGCATGTGCCGCGCGTTCATTAGATGGAAAAAAAAAAAAAAAATTAGGAATTTTCCGGTAGTTCCTCGGCTTTTTTTTTCTCTCACTCGTTGCGCTTGCCAGGAACGTTACGCGTAGACGTGTCAAACAGTGAACGTATATATTTTTTCGTTTCGCGTCTTTTTTTCGTGCAATAATTGTTTATGTTCTTATAACTTGTCTAAATTGTTTTTTATCAAGTATTTCCTTTTTTTCCATCAAAGAGTTTTTATTACGGTCACTTTCGTTTTTTATATAACAATTAGCAATCTTGTATATTTAATATATAACATGTATAATATCATATCTAATAACGTATATTGACATGTGTCCAGGATTGTCATGTAAACTCGTCGACTCACGTGGTTCCTTAATAAAAGCTATTTTTTTTTTTTTTCTTTAATTTTTACAATTCGCATTATGTACCGTTATTCCCTTGCACCATCCATCTTTCGAATTCGATGATTGGCACACGTTTGGCAACGTTTTTTCCTTCATATTTCACTCCTTATTCAACATTTTATTCAAATCGTTGCAAATCTTTTTTTTTTTTTTTTTTTAACCTTCTGTCACTGTCTCATTATGTCGTCAATTATTCTTGTTTGGTGGGAATCTACGAAAGTTCGGTTTTGTCAATTTATTATACTTGGCACGACAAATAAAAAATAGTATTTTTATAAGGATGTATCTTTCGACAACATCGGCACCTTATAGTCTGTAACAGCATATATTAAAATATTTCTAAAGTATCCTAAATCAAACGGAACAAGGAAGCTATCGGTTTTAACGTAGGAACAATGTGAAGAGATGGCTCTGATAGTTTTCTGCTTAAGGCGAGCATGTAATTACACTGTACTTGCAATGAGAAAAATGTAACGTAATAATCACGGTTCTACCATTATGAATTTTCATACCAAGGACGAAAATTACCACCAAACTGCCAATTAAAAATTAGCATGCAGAAAAAAGTTTGTAGAGCTAGAACGGTGATTTTAACATTTAATTTTATACCTTGTAAAGACTATGATAAAATTGAAAGAAACACTTTTTTTTCTTCTTTAATACTTTGCGTGTAAAGAAAACACAACGAAACTACGTAAGCTATAGAAACTATCAGTTCCTCTGTACAGTAAAATGTGATTTTTTTCCTCCAACAGCTTTGAAAAATAGACTTTCAAAATTCAAAAAGTCATATCCAGAACACGTCGATCCCTTCGAAATATTTATGTATATGTATATATATAGTCGTAGTCTTTTCGTTCAAACCAAAGTTATATCTGATACGGGCAAACTTTGATTGTTTGGTACTTGTATACTTTTTTTCCTTCGACAATACTATCGATACCTCATTCGCAGTGTGTACACGTATACTTTCGTCGAAATCTCTCGCTTTGAAACGTCCCAATTAAAAAAAGTCCCAATATCGTGCTCGTTGCAGAGATTCAATTAGCGGATGAAACAAACTCGATCCGCGGCGCAATTATTTCGATTCAAGTAAAAAATCACTCTAGTCGTTCAAGGAAGACTCGCGTCACTGGGAAAGGAAAAAAAAAAAAAAAAAAAAAAAAAAAAAACAGATAAAGGAAAAAAAGGACGATAGCTGCGAAATGGATCTGGAGAGGGACACTTTGGCTCGACGAGTGATAACCGAAAAAGCGTGCCGAGGCCCTACAAAATGATCTCGCGGCCGTCGTCGCCAGTCTCGTCCCCCTATAAGACCGTCTCCTTCTGACTGATGACCTTGATCCCATGCTTCGTCAGGATCATCTTTATCGTGTCGCTGTCCTTGAGCCTCGACCTGCCAGCCTCGACCTCCCCGGCACCGATCTCGTCCCCATCCACCGTCTCCTCCAACGAGTCCAGGTTGTCACCCGAGGCATCGAACCTCCCCACGTTGTCCGCTGACCTCCTCAACGAGCGACTCCTCGCGACCCTCGGCACCCTTATACTGTCCGCCGAGGTCATGAATTTATTGTCCCGCGTCTTGGAAAACTTGTCGGGGCCGCACTTGAAGGACGCCCGGTTCTGCAAATTGTCCGCCGACGAGAACCTCCGCTTCTCCTGGGTCCGGTCCCCCGGGGTTTTCTTCGCGTACGAGCCCCCCCTCCTGCTGAGCCGCTTGCTACCACCGACGCTCAAACTCCGCGACATCCCGACCTCGTCCCTCTGGGCCACCGATCTCCCGTCCTGGTGGTACCCCGATCCCCCGCTCCCGTAGTAATAGTAGCAATAATACGGCTGCTGCGTTGGATCAGCCCGACTCCTCGGCGGCTGGCAACGCGGCGCCACGTTCACGTACAGCGGCTCCGGCTTGTTGCAAACGTCCAAGGAGGCCCTCAGCCTGCACTCCCGCAGCCCGCAATTGTCGATCTCGAACCGATCGTCCCCCGCGCGCGCGATCCTGCCGATCTCCATCGTCGACTTTGCCTTGGGCAGACCAAACGGCCGGCTTCCCCGGGGTCCGTCGTCATCGGGGGGCTCGGGCGTGCTGGCCGCCGGCTCGCCACAGATCTCGCAGATCTCGCTCCCGACGCGGGACTCCTCCTCCTCCTCCTCCTCCTCCCTGAGGTCGAGGGAGCTGCATATGTCGCACTCGTCCTCCTCGGGCGAGCTGCAGTCGGAGGTCGGGGTGGCGCCGAGGCAGCACGCCGAGCAGAACTCGTCGGGGGCGGACTGGCGCTTTATCGACTCGCAGCTCTTTGATTTTTTGGCCATGCCCTCGGCGTCACGCTCCCGGAGGTTTATCGAGTCTAGGCTACCCTGGAGCTGGCGCTGCTGCTTGACGTCCGGCTGCTCCTTGTTCACCACGAGCCGCAGCTTCTTCAGGTAGCTCAAGTCGTCCTCGAACTTGACGTCCCTCTTGGGCTCCGGCGGTTCGTCCTCCCTCCGTCCGTTCTTGATCGAGTTGACGAGGGACTTGCGGTACTTGCCGTCGATCTCGAGCCTGCAGGTGGCCTGCGAGTCGGGTGGACTGCGGTCGTAGCTGAGCGACTCGGGGACCGGGTCGCCGTCCCTGATGGAGCTCGCCGTGTCCTCGGCCCAGTCCCGGTTGTTCCTCACCGACGACTCGTTCAGGTCGGACTCCGAGCCCTCCTCGTACGTCACCGAGAGCACGTCCTCCTCGCGGTCGTCGCTGTAGGTGTTGTTGTCGCAGGTGATGGTCGCCAGCTCGCTCCCGGTGGCTTCCTCGAAGGCCAGGAGCTCGTTGCGGGCGCGGGCGCTACTACAGGGCGTTGGCTCACCGGGGCTGTCGATCTGGCCGAATATGAGGTCGCTTTGGAGGAGGAGGAGCGACGACGAGGGCGACTCGGCGAGGCTCAGCGAGTCGTTAACTATGCTACGGAAGAACTTTTCGCGCGCCAGCTCCGTGTCTTCGGGGCTCGGGGAGGGGCTGGACAAATCGGTGGACGCGCTGTTCTGAAGGTTGTTGCGGAGCACCGAGTCTGGCAGTGAGTTGTTGTCGTCGTCGTCGATGGGGGTTGGTGCTGGGGAGTCCGCGAGGCAGGGGTTCGCTTCGAGCATCGTCACGTCGCTGGGCGAGGGCGTTAATAAGGCATTGTTGGGGTCGTGGTGTGGGTGCTGGTACGACTTGGCCTCGTCGGTGTCGAGGTAGTCGGTCGAGGAGTGAATCGATGATAGGTTCAACTTACTTTTGGAGCCGGAGCGCGTGCGTTCGTCGTGGCGGACCATCCAGGTGTGCCAGCGTGAAAACAAAAGATAGTTTTTTTTTTTTTTTTTTTTTTTCAACAGGATTTATTTGTCCGTGTTTATGCGGGACTGGAGCATGTTTTTTTTTCTTGTTTAAATGATTAAACATTATGGAACATGCTGGCGTCCCTTCTATCACGTTATGGCAATGAAAAAACAACAACAACAACAACACAACAAATTTTACTTAAAATTGTCGACATTTTTCAACGATTTATTAAAAAAAAAATAATAATAATAATGATGATTTGGTCACAAACATAAGCATAACTGGAATCGTAAAATATAAATCAAGTTAACAACTAAAAATACCTTTGTGTAACCATGTAATCGACAGCACCAAGTAAAGTTTGCACCGATCGATTGTTTGTAAAAAAATAATCTTTTTTTTTTTCATGCGTATTCGTGTATTCATCGTGACAGAGTACAAATGTTTTTTTCAAAAACACTTGAAAATCCAGTTCTCGCGCAATGGATCGTGCAAACTCAACTTGAAGCGCGATTGTTCTGGAGTACACCCTCGAGCGCCAAGGGTGTACCGGAAGACACGAGTAGCAGGAAGACCGTGTATAATGTAACGTATCATGGAAACTACAATGTTAACGGCGGTGTGGTGGAGTTTCGTTTCAGCAGAGAGACAGCCTTCATTAAAAAAAAAGTACTTTGTCACTTGGACGACTTTTCATGTTCGTGTGCCGGTACTTTATATCCTTATAACACTAATACCGAGAGCGGGAACTTTCAAGAGTTTCAATTTCAAAATTATCACCGTCCCAGCACTAACGAATCTCTTCTTTACCTCGAGGCGACGATCAAAACTTTGTACAACGTCTCTAGGGAGTGACTCGGCATCAATAAACACAGACAACGACATTCTCGCAAAACTTTGGTAACCGCTCTCTCTTACGCAAAAGCGTAGCTTTGAGAACACCACACCACATGCAAACATTTGTAACAACCACGTGTGTATATACATGTAGACGCAAACAAAACATTGTATATTGTGGAAGAAATCAAAGTGAACTGACTTAGCTGAACTAAACAGAAAAAAAAAAAAAAAAAAGAAGAAATAAATTAGCGGTTTGTTGTGTATTCTCTTTTCTGATCGTGTAGGTCACTCACATGGCCGAGGGTCGATCAGCGCCGTAAATGCCATTCTCGTACACGTACTCGATCACGGCGTCCTGCAGTAAATACTTGACGCTCTCGCCGCGTTTTAGGGCTCGTCGTATTCGCGTCGAGCTCACCTCGTTCGGTATCCACTCGGTGACAACTTGTATGTTGTGCTGCAAAAACCGGATGAAAAAAAAAGAAGAAAAATAAAGGGGGTCCCAGAGTTGAGCCAACTTGTTTAACTTTGTGCCTCGAGGTTGGGGCAAAGTGGGCCATGGGTGTATTGTAGATGTATATACTCACCGAGTGCTTCGAAAGGACGTCCGAGTCGTAAATGAATTTGTAAGGGTTCGAGCCCTCCCTCGTGATGACTATCAGACCGTACTGGCCGACGATTTCTGTTATCTGCCGGGCAGTAAGATAAAAAAAAGTCTCCGTTAATCTGAAAACCCGCTCAATTTTTGGCGCGCAAACAGTAAAGTAGGTATTACTCGGCTTGGGAAACAAAAACCCATCGTATCGATAAAAGTATCACGTTTTCGTGAATTTGGAGACTTGGTCCAACACCGATTTTCGGCTGCCCTCAAAGCATCCAAAATATCGAAATACTATACAAAATGACGTTTCGTCGGATTTCTGTTTGACGAACCGAGTGGTAAATACACTCCCTAGATCGAGAGAGGGGAGAGAAAAAAAAAAAAAAAAAAAGCGTGGACACTCACGTCCTCCTCGAGCCAGAGTCCAGGCGTGGCGAAACTCTCGAGGAGATCCCCACCGCAGAGCAGCTTGATCCTGACCCGACCGCAGTTGTCCAGCTCGGGGCTCCTGAGACTCCCGGGCACCCAGTCCAAGTCCTCGTTGTCGATGTTACTGTTCGCGTCCTCGCGATCCTGGGCTATCGAGTCGAGCAGGTCCTGGTGGTGGCGCAGACTAGCGAGCGTCCGCGTCCAGCCGGTCTGCCGAATTTCCCAGGTGCTCAGCCGGATCCAGTCGCTGTCCCGCAGTGCCAGCTTCAACATCTCCACCCTGTGGGCACCGCTGGCCAGGTCCTTTTTCCCGTAGGCGTCGTTCACCGGGGATATCACGCCGCCCACCACTACGTGACCACCGTGGTTGTGCAGGTGATCGCGAGCTCGTTCTGGATGTTTTTTTTTTCCCCCCCACCCCACGGAGATAAAGCTAATAAACTACTGCTTCTTTTCTCGATTTAAGGTCAATCGAAAGCAATGGTGGTATCAATATTGTTACATTTTCGTGCTTACGTGTCACAGATGGGGAAAAAAAAAAAAAAAAAAAAAAAAAAAAAAAAACCCCCCCCCAAAATTTGGGGGGCCCTTCGGGGCCAAAAAAAAAAAAAAAAAAAAAAAAAAAAAAAAAAAAAGAAACCATGCACGAAAAGCTTGGGAAATCCAAATATTATTGGCAGTAATGATGCAGCAGGCGCATGAATAAACCGACGTTTGAGCGGGCGCCTACACCTCGTCATCTTCGTTAACACGATCGATCCATCGATTACTCCTCGCTCCACGTGATAAGTATTAAATTTCCCTTGATCCGATACAATCTTAAACCGAGCGATAAAGCGCCCCCCCCCCACCCACTCGCCAGCGAGTGTCTTGAAAACTCAATTAAAATTTCACGCGGCGTAATACACCCTCTCCTTGCTCTGCTCGCTCGGTATATAATGTTGGCGCGCATCCTCGAATTGCACCTACATTAATTATCACTTCCTGGGTTCTCTCCAGCTCTGGGAAGATCGGCAGTTGAACGATGAAAACGGCTCATCGGTATTTGGCTCGAGATTGACCGTCGCGAGAATGGCATAGCATGTACTATTTTATCGATGTAGTAAAAAAAAAAAAAAAAACTCAAACAGCATTCAATTTATCGAAGCCACTGGGACCCCTTAAACTTTGAATTTCTTACAACCGCACAAACTTGCTATAGACACTATGTTATAATATATACTATCCATAAAGTCGCGATCGCTCGAGCTGGTCCTGAGAGCGACCGATAGTTCGAGGACCAATGAAAATTCCCCCAAAAACCCGCTGTAGTCGAGCAATTTTCGCCCGTGTGCAACATCAACTGAGATAATAAAGGGTAACCGGGGCGCATATATATATATGTGTATACGTGATTGCGAATAGAGCTGGGTTTATCTTGGGGTGATTCATGGATCCTCCATCCTGCTCCGTCTGTCTGTGTATATAGGTGCGCGCGCGTATCGCGAGCACGCATGTATATACGTGTAGATACGGGCCTGATGAGAATGGGGGGGGGGTGGGAATTGCGGTGTATTGACGATATGATTTCAGCCGGTATCGACCCGTCGGTTCTCATCTCGACGCGGAGCGGAATACCCGTTATTACCCTCCCTTTGTCTTGCCGCCGCTCTGATTACGATTCGCTCTTCGGTTCGAGCGGCGCTGCGGTGACTCGTCGTTGCCTCGATTGATGATGCATAATGGTTACTTTTGTGATGGGTAGGTACTTACGTTGTTTGATGAATGGAGATAAAGCTTTGTCTAGGTATTTTTCTCCGTGAAAAAAAAAAAAAGGTTTCGATTTTCGAGTCGAGGGTGATGAATCGATCGTGTCCTGGGTATTTTAATCGTTTCATCGAGGAACGGCTTCGCTCGGGAATACTCGGGCCAAACGTTAATTGCAGTCACGAGATTCTTTTTTTTTTTCTTTCCTCCTTTCACTACTTTTCTCTCCCCCTTGTTAAAAAGGAAACTGCGTTAATTACGCGCCTTTTGACCTACAACGCTGCAGAGCGCTATAGTTGGATTTTTACCATCAACTTGGTTGATACCCGGGTTTTTTTTTTTTTTTTTTTTTTTTTTCTTCTCGAGAAAAGCGGACGATAATAACGATAATACATAAATTCATTTGAAAACGGTATTGCATTTTATCGCGAAAATGCGCTCGAAAGCTTTATGCCCAGCTTTCATTTAATAATAAACTCTTACTTCGTACTACACCCTGGTACGGTGCATTCATTTGTTTACGTTTTTTTTTTTTTTTTTTTTTTCTCAACCTTTCTCAACATCGCCATTTTGGTGATCCCTCGGGAGGCTGTGCAGCGTTTTAAAATAATAATTTTATCAGTATATTACGAGGGACGTTTATGCGGTACGTTGGCGTATGTAAGCGGGGGTCAAAGATTTCATCACTTATTTCTCATTTCAAAGCAAACCAAATGGATTTCGTCCGTAACTTTTATCCCACGGCTGTGCTCGGGTTTTAACAGCGGCAGTGCACTGGCCTTAAAAACTTCGAAGCGAGGCCACGATAATACAAACTTCTTAAACATCTCCCGAAGACCCTCGTTCCGCCCCCAAAAGTGCCAAAGTCCGAAATGTAAGTTTTCGCCGGTGGAAGATGAATAGCCGAACGGCCAAGAGTTAATTTTTAAGGAGCTGCACCCCGCGCTTTGCACATAGTTTCGCCCCACTCCTCCTCCTCCTTTTTTTTTGCTACAGACCCCTTTTTTTCGTAAAAGCTAATACTCATCGTTCATTTGGGCATCGCGAAATTGTTTTTACAGGCTGCCATATACGGAATGAGGGGATGAGTGTGTCGTACCTCGCACCCTCTACTTACGGGCGATTAAGCGTGTCCACATATAGATAATAGGTATTCAATTCGCAGTTGCACAAAAAATTAGTAAAAAAAAAAAAAAAAAAAAAAAAAAATTAAAAATTTTACCCTTTAAAAAATTTTTTTTTTTTTTTTTATTTTTTTTTTTTTTTTTTTTTTTTATGAAGACATAAAACGAATTTCGAAGTTAAAACGTCTCACGAGTCAATGCATCAAAGCTGCACAAGTTGACATATGCTTGAGTAACATTTAGCACAGGACGATAATAATATTTTTTGCCTAATATCTTCTGACAATGCACTGCAGATAGTTGGCATGTAATCTATCTTGAGTGGCTTAAGATTACTTTCATTGGTTTTTCGTTTCCGTTGGGTCCGCATGTAATAAAACCTTTTTTTTTTAAATTCACCCTGTAATCATCAATCAACCCATAAAAAATGTAAACCTCCTTACGGAGTTGAGCTACTTTGCAGACATATTTTTTTTTTTTAATTTTTTTAATACACTCCAAAAAATGGATAAAGAGAAAAAAAAACGGGAAAAAAAAGAGGACTCAAGGTCATTATAACGCGGACACACGTGCGTAAAAGGGCTGCAGGGTACACACACCCCATCCCCTTCCTACTTTATATGTGCGTCACTTGCCACGCTCTTCTTTTCCGATTTAGCATATCATTGCGGATCCCGGTATTTTCCTTCTCTCTCTGTATGTATGTACTCTCGGTAAAATTTTCCTATACCACGCACCTCGTATCACAGAGCTTTAAGGTACATTAACGTTATTGAGCGATAGACAGATTCCCCCCCCCCCCCCAATAACACGCGTGAGCTTTTGCGTTTTTTGCCCTATGTATTATTGAACAAAAGAAACCCCTCTGTTGAAACAAAACGGGATAAAATTTAAGCTCCGGTGTGAAATTCGAGCCCTTTGTCGATGCTCGCTGTATAGAAAAAAAAAAAAAAAAAAAAAAAAAAAAAAAAAAAAAAAATACTTATGGTTCGACAATTGTATGGCTGCTCGAGCGTGTGATCGTTTAGCAAATAAGTCGAGACTGCAGTGTAATAACCCGTGCGCTAGGAGTTCAATAAAAGCACCACAGCCGAACAAAAAGCTCTCGAGAGTTTGGAAAAAAAAGAGTCCTATATAGCCTTTATATTTTTCATTCCCATTGAGTATGACCAGGCGGATTGTCATTCGGCGCACGGATGAGAAATTATATTTCCCTGTCTCGGAATGAAACAAAAAAAAAAAAAAAACGAAATAAAAACAATACCCGACACCAAATTGTGCAGTGCTCGGTGGGGAGAACAAAAATTAAAATTCACGCAGACGCTCGGTGACCTGAAAAAAAACTTGCTCAAACTAATTAATCGGAAACCTAATTACTCAACGGCAACTCCCATCCCCCTTTTAATACGTGTATATATGTACATGGTTGGTTATACTAAAACGCACAGTTTCTCATCGCGTCGGAAAGCGTGTCTTGGAGGGAGAGGGCAAAAATTACTCCGCGGCGGAACAAGCTTTTAATTAGTTGTCAAAGTTCAGGGAGGGGCTCACGGCAAAAAGGGAAATAACACACGCGAACGCCCGGCAATGCACACATCCAGTCGTGTACTCGTTTCACCACGATGTAGTCCGGACTTCACTCGTGTGCTGAATTAAAGTTACGCGAGAGACCGGAAAATTGGGTATTACGTGCCTGTGCCCCTTAAAAAAAAAAAAATGACGAAAAAGAGATATCGACATGGGAGGGCGAGTAAAAATTAGAGTATGGCGTGCTTCGTCGTCTTTGGGTTTATGCTGCTGATGGTTATACAAATACACTCCGAGTTCAAGTAACGGCTCTTACGATTATATGTGTACTCTCTAGAAACGCAATTTCATTAGGTTAAATAGAATTTCGCGATACCCATCAAGTTAATGATAATCAAAAGGGCCGTAGGTATAAGTACTCGAGAATCACTACTACTACCCCTTTGCGCACCTTTGCGCTTATGGGTCTCGCAAACGAGGCAAAAGTTTTTAATATTCGCCGGATGAACCCTTCAAAGCTGGGGGGAAAATTCAATTACCAGATCTCTCTTTGAGCTGAGATTTTTCATTAAATTTTTTGCTCCATACGCGAGGAAAAAAAAAAAAAAAAAAAAAGCAAATAAATCCCGGTTCAGCTGGAAAAATCCCTTTTCTACACACATAGCTCGCGAGTCTCCCGTTGATTTTTCCGTCCCAACGGATGATCCCCCGTCACCAGTGATCGCGAAAAATCATCGCAGCAATAAGTTATCAACCAACGGATCGAAAAGTCCGTCAGCCCTGGAGATTATCATTCCTCGTCATCGGATGTAGCGCCCAATCACCTTCGTTATATATAGGGAGGACATCGAGTTTTACCCATAAAAATCCCCACCTATGTATACACATTGTCCTCCTGCCTTTGGCACAAATCCGCGGCAGAGAACACGTGTTAACTCCCTCCTGTGCCCCCAGCGACAACAATGACAGAAGCTAATACCGTCGACGTGCCGTGTTGCTGGTATAGCTGATCTCGAACCGAAGTAGGAACAAAAAAAGAAAAGGGGCCAATCCCGATGAAGTGCAGCTACGGTGTTATCGGTGCATATAAGGGACAAATATACGGCACGAGCACACGTGACGCAAATCCCTCGGCTCATCGGGATCGATCCTATACTTTGGCTCCTCATCGCTAGGAGAAAGTAGGGAAAAAAGAAAACACGCAAGCGAGTAGTACAGATAGGTATTCGCTGACCGCACATCATACTTTTGTTTCTAGGCAACTCTTTCCGTTGCAGGGGGCATATATATATATTGCCTTTCCGCGTGAAACAAACAGACCGGGTGTTTATTTATAGACAAACAGACTGACTGACAGCACGCTGTTAGTTTATTGGAGGGGGATGGAAGAGCGACACGCGCACGTAAGGAGATACCGCACTCGAGGGACCGAGAGAGCCCTTTTCCATGTACGTGTTTTCCCCCCCGGGGATATAATATACACGTATATATAACATGCACACCTTGGCTTCTGCGGCATCAATATCGCCTTTCGTTTTTATTTTATGGAAAAGGAAATCGAAAAAAAAAAAAAAAAAAAAACTACCCCGCCACTTTGAACAACAGGGTACAAAGAGGTGGGCCGTTTTAACGCTCGTAACGTGCTTACGTTGCCACGGCAGTGCCGCATCAAAGCCCACTTTCTCTTATCGTGGGTGGCGATGTCGGAGTGGGAGGGGGAGGGGGCGAATCAAACGACCACCATCGCTCTCTGTACCTACAACACCGAGCAAGTGAGAGAAAGGGGTGGGGGTCCGCTGTTGCGAGTCGTGCTATCGATTGTGGGGCCCTTGGGCGTTATAACGCACCCAACCCCCCCTCTCTCTCTCTCTCTCTTTGTCCGCACGATTGATAAACAAAGTATACAATGTTGAACTCACCGAACATCCGGAAGTGCATGTGCGTCGGCGGGTTGTAGCTGCCGCACGACATCAAGACCACCCGGCCCCCCGTCGCCCCCGACCCCGTCAACGTCGTAGCTCCTGACTTGTCGCTGCTCATCCTCGTCCCCGTGTGCCCCTCGCTACTGACAACGATGCATTTAATACACACTCGCACACTATGCAATGCAAACGGGAGTGTCCGAGAAAAATAGGGGATGAAAAAAGAAAGAAATAACTCAGCGATCAACGAACGATGTAACGTGGGGGTACGCGGGTGGGAGCGGGGGGGGGTGTATGGGATCGAGAAGTGAATGAACTAGCGAACGAGCGAGGGGGGTGGGTGTAGAGGACGGACAGGCCCGATGCGCGAGCGCCGAGCGTCGAGCGCACACTGACCGAGAGAGCTCCTTCTGTATCTAAAGTCAGCGAGGGGTGGGTGTTATATATATATATATTTATACATGTTCACGCGCAGGATCTACGTGGGGGTGGCGCAGATAGTTCTCTCCCTCTCTGTATACAGTTATACGTGCGTGTACGTGTCATGTGCAAGGGTCAACGAAGGAGTGCGAAATATAGCCAAGAGAGATGCTCCGTGGCTGTGATGGTATAGATGCTTTTTCTCTCTATTTTTTTCTTTCTTTTTTCATTCTTTTTACACTCTCCCGAGAGGGGGGAAGTAAGCGAGGGTGCGCGTTACGAAATTCCGTAAGTAAAACGAAGCTGCTTTTTACGCGACAGATTTATGGAGGACTGAAAGTTGTCCCGGTATAGCACTAATGGCAGTTGTACCATGAACCGGGAGTATACGAGTGGATACAAAAAAGATGATGGATACAGCTCGTATACGTGTATAATACATATTCACACGTATCTGCAGTGCTGCGTCACATTTTTTCTTACTTGTTTGAGGGCGAAAAGAAGAACAGCGGGATGTGCCGTTGGATTACGGATAATTGAGAATGTTAATTAGAGCCCCAAGTTAATTACAAAGGGCAACGGGGTAAAAGAGCGGGTGAAAATGCCGGGTTGTCTTTGATGATTCATTGGATCGTAAAATGCATGGTTGGCTGGAGGAAAAAGAGACGAAATAAATAATGACAAAAGGGTTCAAAGTTTAGGCGGGGGAAGCGTACGAGTGAATATTTCATATACGCGCCTCTTGGGCTTTTAAAGGTGTTGCTCTGCACGCGTCTCGTGCATCGGTTTATGTGATAGGCTTTGCTTTGAGAACGAGCTAAATTGCTTTGGCAAATGGCCCAAAGTGAGTTATGCAGGATACTTTGAGAGCGCGTGTTTTTCGTGTCTTGCAATTTTTAATGCAAGCATGCTTTCATGGTGAAACTTTTGGACTCTCTCGGCTGGAAATCGCAGAGGATCTCGTGCGCGCTTGGTGCTTGCTTTCGGAATCACGAGGATTTTTTTTTTTTTTTTTTTTCATGGATTTCAAATTTTTTGATTTCTTTTTATTAAAAAAAGGGAAAAAATTTAATTTTACGTATAAGCGTTTTTATAGGTTTAAAAAGAAAAAACGAAATTTTTTATATCATAGGTAGCATGACGTCGCTTTTTTTCGATGCAGAACATCACTTGCTCGGAACACAACGCGCTTGAATACTTGATCTGCGCATTTAATAGCTTAGCAGTTGGTATTGAAAAATAATTAAGATAATATTTCAAAATATCAGTTGTACATGAACAATCGAGTGAGTTTTACATGACCATTTCAGTCATCAATAGATAATTTGAGAGTAGATTGGGTAAACGAAATTAGTTGAAACAATTTCTGATTGTACTCACGGTGAGTGCATCTTGGCCGAGTATATGTTTCTGGCGTGAATATATTCTATGACACCGTTTTGCAGAAGATATTTAACACTCTCGCCACGTCGTAATGCTGTTCTGATCCGCGATGCGTTTACTTCATTCGGTATCCACTCGGTAACAACGTGTATATTGTACTGTAAGAAAATATACGTTTAACTTATCACGTAATTAGGAGTTTCAAGCAAACAATGCTTCTTTAACGTACTTCGTATTTCGAAAGGATATCTGAATCGTAAATGAATTTTTTGGGGTTGCTGCCTTCCTTACCGATGACCACTAATCCATACTGGCTGACAATGTCCACAATCTGAAAAATTGAGATTCTTAAAGTGCATTATCCAAACTCGAGTTGGTTTCCAAAATGAGTAAGTTCTTACATCGTTTTCCGACCATTTTCCTGGTTTCAAAAAGCTCTCCAGCAAGTCTGAACCACAGAGTAACTTGATCTTTACAGGCAACTGATTTGAGCCACTCTTGATGTCATCACGTATCCATTCGGTGTCTTCGTTATTTACATTATTGTCCACATCGCGACATACAATACTATTCAATACATTTTGATGAAAACGAAGAGTTTCCCTGATGCTCTTGTAGGTCTTCTGTCTTATCTCCCAAGTGCTTAGGTGTACCCAGTTATTTGTTTGAAGGGCAAGTTTTAGCAAATCAAGTCTCGTTGAACTGTTTGCTAGATCGTCTTCTTTGCAGTAGTCGTTTACTGGTGAAACAACACCTCCAACGACTCTATGGATTCTCAAAGTGTGCAGATGATCCCTTGCTCTTTCTGGAAAGAACAAAAACACAATAGGGTTGGCAAATATTGGGACAGCAAGAAAAAACGATTCAGAGTCAATATTATTTCCAACACTCACCAAACATCCTTAGGTGCATGTGCGTCGGTGGGTTATACCTGCCACAACTCATCAATATAACGCGACTCATTGGCATCTCGTTAGTCTTCTCGTTCTCCATATCCATGTCTATTTACTGTCGGTATTTATTTTTTTATTTACAGTCTAAAATGTATTTTTTTTAATGCTTGCGTGTATAATTTTATTACGTCTCGAGTGTGTGTGTTTATCAAAAAGTAATTAAAATAAAATCCCAGAACGGCGTCTTGTTTTAAAGCACGTCAATTTGTAATGAGACGCAATGACGAGACAATTTTCTTTTGGAGATTGCTTGAATAGTAGATTATTTTGTTCAAGCCACTTTTGGTTCTTTCAACAGAGTAAGTACACCTATATATACAGAACCAGTTCTCGGTTTGGTTCACTATATATAGATATACTTTGCTAAGAGAACCAAACCGAACCAAAAGGGGCTTGAACAAACCCAATATAAACAGTAAACATGACGACATATTGTGCAAACCATTGAACATCTCTCGTACTTGTGTGACACTAATTTTTTACATCCTTTGACTTTTAAACGCATGTTTTAATGTGGTTCAGTAGTGTAATAAATAATTTGTAAATTATAATACATACCTCAAAGTCTATTCGTATTGTATATAACTGTTGCTTACGCGTCTTATCTTTCGAAATACATCTAGGTAAACAAAATACTTAAACAGACAGTCAAAACGTAGACTGCCAACAGGTTTGTTGTCGATTTTGAATGAAATAATAGTGCTCAAAGTAATGATATTTAAGCAAATAAAGTTTACGTGACGATTTATGCAAGTACGACGCCGATGTAGTGTGAAATACTTGTGCAGTGAATACTTATTTGTTTCCGTTTTTTGAGCATTGTGAAAGCACTTGGGAGTTGGGAGGTTAGGTTGGATTGTTGTTTGTTTTGCCAATCAGCTGTCGACTTCGGTAGCAGACAGCATTTTGCGCTTCATGTCGCGCGCAAGCTCAACGCGCGAAAATTTTAATTTAAAAATAAATTACGTTCCAATGATCGCGGTTTTAAATGGTTTCCGTGGTCAAATGTTTTCTTTTGTTTTTTTTAAACTGAATTTTTTCTCTCGACTGCGTATAGACTTAAAATATCTACTTGAAAGGTTACATGTAGGAATTGGTTTCAAATTCTCAGAGTTCGAAGTTTTGGGGCTAGTAAAACTTGTTGCTTCAATGAAATTTTCTAAAATTAAAACTGTCAGGTTGTAGCTTAAAAACGAAGCTAAAAACCAAAATTGAGCCCGATTAGACGTAAAATATAAAAAATAGTCGATTTACATTGTCTTCGTAAATACACTGGTTACACTTTTTGCTCCGTTGAAAATTTAAGACATAATAATGCCGTGTCTAAAAATGAGTAATAATTTTTGATAAAAACAATTGCGATTGTTTTGAGTAACTTTTCGTTATCCACGACACATTGCGTTATTACCATCCAACGTCAAAAACATTTTAGAGTATCGATTAATCAATAAAACCGAGTTGCCCTGTATCTTCCCGACCATCGTAGGAGATGGCGCTAAGTGTATGTTTGTTGAATTTCGTTGTGAATAGAAAAAAAAAAAAATGCCTCGATTGAAAACCAACACTTAGGTGACTTAGGTTCTCTTGAATAACCAATAGATATTATACATGGAACAGCTAGGATTGATTTCACCACGGATACAGAAGGTATATATGTTACGAAATTATGTAACGATCCCATACTGAGCCAAGCTCGTTAACGCAGGATTATATCTCGCAACCCTCTCTCATTCTCCCCCCAAAATAGAATACTACAGCACAGAGTAGGTGAGCTAGGAGATACAATAAGGCCTTTGCCGATGCTGGTACTGCAACAACGATCGTATCAATGATAATTATAGGCAGGCGAGAGGTTCGCATTTATAAAGGCGGAAGCCCTGCACATGTGCCCTCTCGGTTATACGGCCCATTATGCGGGGCGCAGCTTCATTATCGGATCTGTGGGGCTGTAAGCGTAACAATAATGCGGGTGTGGGTGCATTGACTCGCTCTTTAATATCGTGAATGCTGTCGGTGTACTAATTGCCCCTATATGTGTCTACAGTCCCTGTTGTATAATATTGTACGAAATTTTACTTCCATTGGAACATGTTTAATTCTCGATTTTTTTTTTTTTTTGGATTTTTAATAGTTGGTTGTGTTGATTAATTTCAGAGAGCAGCTACTTTTATTTTATGATAAATCTTGAAGCTTTATATAAAACAATCCTCGTTCGATTTTATTGTTTCAGTGATTAATTCATAAAAAAACGACGTGAATAATTGTAAATTGGAATTCGTTTTTTTTTCCTCGATATCAGGTGGGACATCTGGGATAGGATAAGGTCTATCGAGACAAGAACACAAAAATAATATCTTTTGCTTAATAATACACAAATTTTATTTGAATCCGCATAAGCAGAGAAAATTATCATCATCATCATCATCACCATCATCATAATCATGATCATCGCCATTGTCATTTAATTATGTTCGATGAATAGAGCTCCTCTCATATTCGCGACAGTCATACGAGTACACATGTAATTATATAACGTATGTACAATAATAAGTTTTTATTTTTCATTATTCTTTCAGGCTGTTTTACCTCCTTTAAACTTCGTATTTTCTCCTTTTTTTTCTCTCTCTCTTTTTTTTTTTTTTTTCTTTTTTCTTTTTTCTCTTAGTCACCACCATTTATTCATCTTTCGTGTACATATCTCGTGTGTATTTATGTTCATCTCTCTCACTTTCATTCTTTCTTTCGTATTATAAATCTCATCGAACCATTTTCACGGTATCAATCACTTAATCGCCATCATCGCATTCATTGCATATACGCTCATTTTTCTTAATAATAACCTCGTAATTGTTAATGAATCATATTGATTATAGAAATTTTTTTCTTTCCATCTTTTATAGTTTTTTTTATAATTTTTTTTTTCTTATTTTTTTATTTTTTTATTTTTTTATTTTTTATTTTTTTTTCTTGTTCACATTTCTCCGAATCCATACACTCCACTTTTAACAGTTCCGAGGTAGTAATTGTCACTTTTTCCCTTCCCCTCGTTTAACAAGACGAGCGAAATCACGTGGATATTGTTGTTATTTGCCTTGATATATAAAACATCCGTTACATTTGTTTGCTTGTTATGCCAACAGGTGATAGTAGCCGTGCTGGTGGTATCGACGGCTGCGACTCCGCCACCTGGTTACGTGAGGAAGCCTGATAATGACGAGGTAAATATTTTTACGCATGTATTATATACGCAGTACAGCTCAAACGGGCGAAATGAAGAAAACACTGAGTTATTGATCAACTATACTTAAAAATCATCCAGTTGCGTTCAAGGGTTATTATGATAAAAAGTCTTTTGCTACGAGTACACCTAAAATTCACTCGATCTTTTTTTTCAATCGATCCCCTCCCCTACCAGTTGAGGCATGTTTGAGCGTCAAAAAATAATAATTCGTTATTTATCCATACTACCATTGAATTAAAAAATAAAAAGTTGCAGGATCAGTGCAGGTATGAGAAACGCGGCTTAAAGGCAGTGAACTTTCAATTTAACAGATTAATTGGATGCCGCTGAAAGGGAGGGAGGGCACTCGAGCTCAATAGTACTCATTGAATTCATCGAGACTCCATGGCAGCAAGTACTTATGATAATTCGATGGAGTAACTCTGAGCTTGTATGAAGAGTTGAAAATAATAAATAAATAAATAAAATNATTGAGAGAGACTCGCTCCTTTTTGTTCGATTTTTCATACTTGTTTCTGATTGCGACGGGACTAAATAAAAAATAAAAATATAATAAAATAAATAAAATAAAAATCAGCACCTGATTATATAGGCTCTTGAGATGATCGATCGTACTTGCTATTATATCTTATCCGTTATTTACAAAACCAATTGGTTGCTCACTTTTTTTTTTTATTTTCGTAAAATTTACGCTAAAACTTACAACTCAGATATACTTGGCGCAAAAAGATTTTTTATTTTATTTAATTTTTTTAATCCTAAAAACGTAACGCATTAAATTTTGACTCAATACTCGATTCAATTTGCAAACAATAATAATCAGTCTGATTTCGCAATTGCTCGTTCAAAGTGATACGTGCACGAAGTAATCCATTAAAAAAATTCGAAACTCGTTGAATTTCAGCTAATATTCGCTTGCGGGCGAAACGAACGAAGTATTAGCTGGACTTTAACGTGACAGGACATTATTTATGTCATGCATATCATAATAAGCATATTATATCGATGGTAAAATTTACTTGGCAACGTCTGCAAAATCATTTTGTTGAAATTACACAATAATCCCCTGCCGTATTCCATCCTTTCCTTTTATCACAAGAAAAAACATTTACAAAAGCCTCCCCGTACGTACAATGAGTTAATACGACTCACATGGGTGCCGCGTATATAGATAGTAACAAAATACTTTTGTAATCGCACAAGAAACAACTTTCGCCAACCTCCGTAAAAATTCTAACTCCCCGATTCTTACCTCGCTTATTACAACGCTTACTTTTGTCATTTTATTTTATTTTATTTATTTATTTTTTTTAACCTAACCGTTTCTTTAATTATACACAATTACAATTATAATTCGTATCAGTCAATTTCGATTAGGGAGTTTCCTATAATATATCACTTAATCTTTACTTATTCGAATTTTGAAACACTTCCAAAAGTAGTAATTGAAGGAAATAAAAAATAAAAATAATACAGATTTTCAAAAGAAACGAAAGTCGAGAGATATCGTCAAGAACAGCACGTCACAAATCTTTCATTCGCCCTCTTTCTCTCTCTCTCTCTCTTCGACTCTTACTTTTATTTTTCATGTTATTTTAGACACTCAGGCACATGCAGATACACGTATGACACTCACTCGCGTGCAAACCCACTTGATACGCTCAATTTGTAATTCATGATTTTTTTTTGCATATTTTTAAATTATTTTGTGATTTTTTTTTTTTTTCTTTTTTCTTTTCNTTTTTTTATTGCCTATATACAAGAGAGCTGTTAATTATCCCTTGTGCACACAAGATTTGAATAAAATTTCAAAGAGTGAAAAGTAACATAATTTCTGAGAGAATTGGTTGATTTTTGCAATAAATAAAACTTTACTTTAAAAATTTTTACAGAAATATTACATCGAAAGCGAAGGAAAGTAATAGGTATTAATAAATATACGTATATGTAAATATGCATGTATATAATTTTCTTTCATTATTTCATTTGGCTTCCATATCCTCTTTTTTTTTTTTTTTTTTTCAATTTTGTTCAATTTATTAGTTACGAGGTTGGAGGACTGATGTTTCATTTTTAAAGTATTCACGTTTCTGGTGCACCGGAAATTTTTTTTTTTAGTATTTAAATGTGAATTGTTTTTGTTTGTTTGTTTATTTAGGTGCGTTTGATAAAAGCCAAGTAGAAAAAGACTGCGAGTCCACGTAAGTATGTATACAGTGTATGGTGTGTCACATGTTGTAACCCTAAAAATTTTCCGGCTCCAGATGCTGGTGTTTGTTTTTTGTTTTTTTATTTTTTTTTAGATTTTAGTTACATCAGCATTGCTTATAGATTTTTTAAGATCTCGTGCTCATCGTTTACTTCGTCATTCTTTCCTACGCTTAGGTTGCTCGATATTTTTTATTAAAAGTTTATTATATTGGCAATAATTAGATATTATACGTGTATTTTTTTAACTTACACATTTTTGTTTGCTTCGTTAAAGTTCCTTACATTTAAGCTTGGTTTAGTTTTTTTCTGATTTCTCTGATAATCTAACAGACATCTAAAAATAACACCCATTTTTTATTACTTACTTTGATACTGTTTAATGCATATATATATATATATATTTTTGTCATCTTAATAAATGTGTGACTGCATGTATTTCATTTTTTCCGTAAACATAGCACTCCGCCAAATTCGAGAACTCGAGTTTTTTTTTTCATTTGAAGCTTTTTCCGTTGTTTTTTTGTTTCTCTTGCGGTTAACGTTATATTCTATTACATATCTTCGATGCATCTCTACTTTGTATGTTTCTGGATTTTTGTGTTATCCGTTGACCGGACCTTCATGTAAAAAAAGGCCCCGGAAATCGGGGGACGTTAGAAAAATAAGAAAGAAGAGTTGGATTACAAGATTTTTAGTACAGAGTGTGCATGACAGCAGGATGTCAAAAAAGTTAGCTCCCTCCTTTTCGTTTCACTCGTTACTTTTAAAAAACCTCCTCACTGTTTCTCGATAAAATATCGAACATTTTTTTTTTTTTCGTTTTATTTTACTTTGTAGCGCTTTTCTTATTTTCTACCTGACATTCCCGAGTTCTCGTATTTAGGCGGCGATGCGACAGTAACCGATGCAGTGCGAAATTTTTTTTTACATGTGAATGTATTTTTCTTTTGTTGCTTATGTGTACAGTTGAAAATCATCTACATTTATAAGTTTTACCCTCAGCGATTGGATGATTTACGCGATACTGACATATTTTTTTGTTTCAAATTTCATTTTTTTTTTTTTTTTTTCAGCACTAGCAAATTGTTATTATGCTTTTTTGTTAATTATTTCCATGGTTATGCTCTTATTCCAAAATTTTTCTCATTTTTTTCTTTCAATCTGCTTCACTTCGTAAAAAGGAGAAAATTTATTTTTTCGCGCGAAATATCATTATAAAGTACACGCACTAGTTTAATTTATGTTTTTAATACAGCAGTAATTTGAATGTGTTTTGCCGTTGTAACCATTATTTTTCTTTTGATTTATTCTATCCAATGATTTATTTTTGTTTTCATTGTCACAACTTTTTACGTGTCTCTACATACGTTACGCGTCACTAAGAAAAATGGTAATATACTCTAACCAATTTAATAAGGTGTACTAGAACTATAAAAAGTTCCTCATCGTAAGTATGACAAAAAATTTTGTGACTAAAACCATTAGGTTTTCAATAATGACTGGTTTGTCATTCAGTTACGTTGTTTACACGAGTAAAATAATTAAACACGCAATAAACTAGAATGAGAAAAAAAAAACAAACAAACAAACTTATAAAAGTTTTAATTTAGTGTATACGTTTTTGTTTTTACGCGCTTACGATTCGTTCCTTTTATTTTTAGTATCACATTGAAGAGGAAGCAGACTTGTCCGATGTATGTAGATCGTTTGTTTTGTTTTTATTTTTTTATTCTTTTCTTCATCTGTTAAGAAATCTTTCTGATTTTTCGGATTCTAAAATGAACAAAAATTTAGGAAGCGTATTTTGTTTGTTAATTATAAGCATCTACGAAGTTTTTTAGTTAAGAAAAAAAAAAAAAAAGTAGAGATATTAAAAAAACGAAATCATAGCCAATAAGGAATAATTAAAAACGAATTCATGTTTATAAATCTATAAATGATTAAGAATGATTTTTTTCTAGAAAAATTGACTTCTTCGCTAGATTTAAAAAATTCACCATTCGAAACAAATGTAACATTTAAAATCTGTTGTTACTTTTTAATAAGTATTTTTAACAAATTTTGTATCAAACATCGTTCGTTTCAGTACGTAAAATACGATGAAAATAAAAAGAAAACGTTGATATGGTAGCAAAAGACGTAAGGGCGAGGAGCGCAAAAAAATCGAGAGGAAAACGTCAGCTTAGAGAAGAGAAGATCCGGAAAGATTCGAAGGAGGGAAAACGACAGGTGGAAGTCGTTGAAAGTGCCATTAGAAAAAAACCGGAAAGTATGTACGTGACCTCTCTAGCAAATGCATACACAGTAAAGCTGACCATTTAAAAAGGCCACGAATTCGCTGGAATCACTTATTCCGTTTTTTTATTGCCTATATACAAGAGAGCTGTTAATTATCCCTTGTGCACACAAGATTTGAATAAAATTTCAAAGAGTGAAAAGTAACATAATTTCTGAGAGAATTGGTTGATTTTTGCAATAAATGAAACTTTACTTTAAAAATTTTTACAGAAATATTACATCGAAAGCGAAGGAAAGTAATAGGTATTAATAAATATACGTATATGTAAATATGCATGTATATAATTTTCTTTCATTATTTCATTTGTCTTCCATATCCTCTCGTTCGTTCTTCGTCAATACGACTACTATTCCATGCATTTGGCGTGAATTATTTTTGTTGAACTTTCTCTGGATCATTTTTGTTTTCCCTTTGAAATTTCTCTTTCTTTTTTTTTTTTTTAAACAAACGATTTGGCTGTTTTTGTCTACTCTCCTCGTTTTTCTCAGTGTCTTTCTTGTCATAAAAAAAAACTATTAAAAAAAAAAATGAAATGAAAAAAAAAATTTAGTATTCGTCATCCAAAATATTAGACTAAGGCATTCTTGATTTTGTTTTTACGCTTCGAGGAGATTGAGTCTTCGCAGTTTGAAATTAGTTTATATTCAACAAGGAATGTTTTTGTAAAAAACGCCCTTTTTTATTATTAAATACTGAAGGTAAGCAATCCTTTTTATAAATTCTTTGTGAGTTTACAAACAAATGAATTAATGAAGAGATTATTAAAATATCAAGTATTTATAATGAAATTTTATTTATTACGTCACACAAAAGTTTTTGAAGATAAATTAGCTTTGTTCACTTAAGGTATTAGTTATTAGTTAATGAAAGTAATAATTCTCTTGAGTATTTCTGTCTATCTGTACGCGTACAACGTCAGTTTAACGAAAGAAATCGATATATGATTGTCCCCCTCCCTTTGTTTCATGTGTCTCACCCTAATAAAAACTCATTCGACGAAATGACGCACTTTTTTCAAACAACAAGCGACAAAGTTTTACTTTACGGGCTTCAAAGTTAGCAATATTTTTTTCCTCAGTTATTTTCTTGGCACGCACGCGACTGTTACTTAAAAATGAAAAACTGCAAAAGTGTAAGAGTGAAATTTTAATAAATTTACCTAATGATAAGATTATAAAAGTTTACTTTGTTAATTACCACGTGATTGTTAAGATTAGTACAGAGTTAGTGGAAAGATAGTATAAATAATATTTATTTTTCTGCAGGTCAAGATTATTGAGTGTCATCTTTAGAACCGAAAGTGCCTCGACGTTTCGATTGATCAGTGTCATATTTAGATTCAATTGTTGTTCAATTTGTTGAACATTTTTCTTTCTCGCGTATTTTAAAAATTCTTTCCTCAAAAACCACGTCTTTATCTTTTTTTTCACACATATGGGCTTAAGAGATCACTTGTTACGTTCTATTATTATTTTTTTAATTTTTTTATCATTTTTTTTATGTCAGTCTATCTAATCTTAAAAATCTACATCATAGTAAGCTTTGACTCCATAAACTTGCACGTATTTTTTTCTCACTTATATTTCTGTCAACCTTCTCTTTCATGGAAGAAAAAAAACCTTTCCCACTACCCTCCTTCGCTTCAACTCTTCCATATTCGAGGCCAAAGTCTATTTACTTGTAAATAATAAAAAACCAATCAAAAAAAATTAATTACACAAACTTAAACACTTTCTACAATTTGCATATACTGAGATATCACTAATTGAAAAAAATGCACAATAAATAAAATCAATAAATTTTCACGAGTTTTTTAAACTAAACAATACTTAATTTCGACTTGCAGCAGACTTCTGCCTCAAAGAGAATTTTTGAAAAAAAAAAAAAAAAGTTTTTAGTCATAAAATGTCCCCTTTCGTCTTCGCTCGTATCGGATGATCTCTTGATGCCATTTTTAACGGCCCCTCATTGTCTCGCACTCTTAACTCTTAGTTTCTCTGTCGATTACACCGGAGCGTCTGTATGAAGGCGGAACGCCTTATTACTATTTTTTCATTTATTTACTTTACGCAAGGGTTTTAAAGAATTTGTACTTTTTGTGTCTCAATTGCGCTTCTCCATTTTTATGTTGGTTAAATTTTAGACTTAACATGTTTCCCGTCGTTCATTTTATTAAACTTACGAGTTAGTTTTTTTTTTTTTTTTTTTTTTTTTTCTAGTGAATTAATAGTTATCCTAATAATTCGCGGTTCTCGTTTGCTCTGGTTGTCGTGCGATCTCTGCACGGTAAATCAAATCAAAATATGGGAGGGATACCGAATTTCCGAAAAAATGTTGTTTTAACAAGTTGTTTTTGATCTCTTGTGATGATCTATAACCATAACTGGAATTCCGATTTCTCCCTCTGTTTTTTGCTTTTGTTTTTGCGTTTCAAGAGGACGATTGATTAAATGAGAAAAATTATTGTTCCTGCATGTATTTCCTAAATCGTGTATCAAAAAGTTTGATTTCATGCTTTTATAAATATTTATCAAGATATTGAGTAGGTCTTTTTTTTTTAATTTCAGATAAGATGTACGGTAACTGTTACAACGAATTTTTTCATCAATAATCGACCGCACCCCTTGAAAAATATATTTATATGTCCACAACTCCTCTCTTAATTCTGTTCTTTCGGGCGTGGGTGAAAACACCATAAAACAAGAGAAAGGCAATATTAAATCGATATTTTTAACGACAAATCAACTTATTTCATCACTTCATTCGTGAAAACCCTTTTATATGCATTTTATGTTTTTTTTTTTTTTTTTTTCACTCTACATCGTCTCTTTATCGTCGCACTCTCGCAACACTCATACGTAAACAATCACTCGTCACTTCATTCTCTTCTATATTTGATATATTTATAAATATGTATGTATGTATATACATATAAATTTTTTTTTTTACAAACCAATTTCTTAATAAAAAGCACGTCCAACAACAATCTTGCAAAAAACGAATCAACGGCCAATTCTTCCGGTGTGTATTTTTTTTCTCTTTTTTTTTCTCTTTTGTCCTCTACTGAAACACGGTCTTCCTAAGCTGGTTGCACGCTGAAGTTACGGTTGTTGCTTTTCCTCGTTGTTTCTTTCACGCTTTGAGTGTGTGGGTGTGTGTGTGTGGGGGGGGGCACAGGCGTTCTGTTGTTTTAATTTTCAATGTTATCGTATTTTTTTAAAACGCATCTGAATTTTCACGTCAAACGGGCGAGACGAGACCTTTTGCGTAATACGTATCGACGGCAGCGTATTGTTGTCGTGTTCGCCTGTATCTGCTTCGCTCATAAGATAACCGAAACAATGAAAATGGACCGAGGGACAAAGAGAATGGGGTGGATTTCTGGGGTGTATATTACGACGCTCGATTACGCCAGACATAGATAGAGTCTCCCCGACATTGTTTACTCAACAAATGCACACCGTTACGTTTGCTTTTGTTTTTTTGTTTGTTTCTGAAAATTACAAAAGGACTTATAAAATATTTTTTTCCCTTGATATTTCGAAATTCTTCGTTATTGATGAAAATTAATTGCAACAGTCCATTTTCATTGTACATCATTTTTTTTTTTTTTTTAATTTTTAATTCGATGTTCGTTCAATCACTCGACTGCCGTTCGCTTTATTTTTATTTTTTATTTTCCACTGTTTGTATACTTTTTTCATTAATATGTACAAATACCACTCGATTCTCTCGGTTGAATTTACATGTCCTCGTCATTTGATCCTCCGCGTGGTAATCTTCGCTCACTCACTCAACGCAACACTGGCAAAACGCCTCTGGCAGAAAAATTTTCTCACCCTCGCATCCATCATAGTAGCCATACGTAAAACAACAACAAATCATTTCTTTCCATTTTACTCGAATCTTTGGCTCTTGCCCTTCCGAACAAGAACAATTATTTCAGATGATCAGTTACAAAAAGAAGGAGAACAAGAAGATGAAGAAAAATTTGGTCTCTTTCACGCGCGCAGGAAAAAAAAAGGGGTGCAGTGGATTAAAGCGCTGGACCTGGGATCGCGTGTCAACACTCAAATGGGTGGCCGGTGAAAAATATTCCTCCTCACTCCTCCAACAGAATATTCATATGCGTACAAATTCACTTTGGACGTCATTACCCGCGATTCGTCGGCAAGTACGGATGTTGCCGATAAACCCGTGCCTCGTGGTTTTGTAGGTAGTTCCTATTCGCTGTGCCCACCAAGCTTCACGCGTGCTACTTGTTTGTCCTTTTGTGGATAACCCACGAGATCTTTGTTTTGTATTTGTTTGTTTGTTTTTCTTTTCGTAAAAGTTCTGTCACTCGATGCCGATCTTCCAGTTGTCGTCGTTGTTGCTGTCCCGCGTCCTCTTCCCCAATCTTCAGCGCTTGACCATCAAGGTGCTCTTTTTCATCTCCCCCCGTCTCCTCTTCTTGCCGCCGCCACCTCCGCCGCGCCATCTTTTTGTCTGTAACACAAACTTTGTTAGATACGACCCCGATAGTTTTTTTTTTTTTTTTTTTTTCATCTGCAATCAAGAGTGACGGCCCCAACAGGATTCTGCTGCTTTTGGGAAAAGATTAAAAACCGGCTACCCTCTATCTCCGCCGAATATCCCGGCAATATCAGCGGCCTCCCCTTTTGCCGCACATATAGCCCCGAAGCGCATTATTTATCGATTGGATCGTCGGAATTTCCAGCCACGCGAAAACCAACCAGCCGCGACATGGAGTTTGCTTCCGGGGGCTAACTTTCCGTCGCTACCACCCCACCCTCGGGGAGTATACATACGGGATTATAACGACAGGTTGGCTTTACCTCGGCCTGTTAGGAGCAACGAAAAAACACTTTACACGCGTCGCTCCCCAATTCGTCCTAATAGTACAGGATATGATGTAATGTTTTTTTTTTTTTTTAATTTGACGTGCACCACGTGCACGTATACGCACAGAGAAAGAGGGGAGGGATAAGCATCGCTCAAACTATTTCTTAAAACCCTAAATGAGGCAGCGATATAATCGAGCTTTCGAATAAAAGGGTGCCCCTCCCCCCGGAGGTGAGTGAAAAAGAAGACACGAAACGTATACAGGGTTAAGCTCCCGGTAGATAGATAGATAGAGGGAAGGGGTATGTGGGTTGGATGGGGGTGGGGTTAAGAGCGCAGAGAAGTAGACGGATAGAGCTGCAGCCCGGCGTCAATATAAGCCTGCTCCCTCGGCTTCTCTCTCCGTGCAGGCAGACAGGCCAGGAGGAGGGGAGGGTGAAATCGGCGATTTTCAATCAGCCGTCAAGCCCTGTATTGGCGTACACGTACACACATAGCTCCCTTTTCGCCTCTCGACTGCTGGCGGCGAAAGCGCGCGAGCGCGCAAAGGCAAATTTACGAGCGATCCCGCGAACAGGGAGAGAGAGAGAGAGGAACTGCTCCCGGCAACCCCTTCGGAGTTACATATATATATATATATATACATTCATGTATACACGGAGCCGAGGGAGGATGGATGGATGGATGGATGGAGAGAGCCATGTACTGGCGGGCTTAAGCCCTTACTCTCTCGCTCGATAGTGCCGCGGAGCAGGTATCGGAGAAACACCCGTGTATATGTATATATATACATCGTCCATCTCTTTTGGAGTCGAGAATTTTTTTTTTTTTTTTTTCGGGAAGGCTCCAGCTTCCTCCTTATGCCTTTTTAGTTTTTTTTTTGTTTTTGTTTTTTTCCCAAGCAATCGTGCGGGGGTTCAGGACGAGAGTTTGAAAAATCACGGTTCGGAGGAAAAACAGAGAGAGGCTGAGTTCTTTGCTCGTTAATCACTGTCCTGCTGATGGGGCTCCCAACGCGGGTAATCGAAAACGGAAGCCCCAGAAGCAGGGGGAGGGCGCTCGCATTCACCGGCCGGAGCGATTACGGCGCCTCGATAATCCACGGAGGCGCGCGCGTTGTAGCGCGAGGAAAATTAATATCCCGCAATATCACCTCGTACCGCGTCTGCTGCTGTTTATCGACGCGGATTTAGGTACGCGGGCCGGGTTTGAAAATCTCCGGCGTACGGATATCCTCGCATCGTGTGCGGCTTGGACCCCATGTATATCAGTTTTCATTTGCATCCCGGGAGAGGTTGTATACCAAGGGGCAATATCAAGGTGTTGAGGATGCCTGATGGCACGAGAACGGAGTTTACATTGTAGAATAGTTGATAAGTATTCAAATATCCACGTTATATATAAGATTGCGCTTGAGATTTTTCCGACGATTTCTACATACGATCCCAACCGATTGCTCGACTAAACTACATCACTCTTAGTTTGCTGATGCGTTACGTGCTCAATTGATGATTGGAATTCGAAGTGGTTGGGTTACCTAAAGATTGTCCATCATCTCGGAGAGGGTCAGCCTGGAGGTGGACATGGCAACGCCGCTGTCGCTGCTGCTTTGCACGCTGCTGTGATCATCGGAGTCCGATTGGTTGCTCGTGTATCCAATCACATCGACTTCGTCTGAAACAGAAATTGACGGTTTTGTGATTATTATTATTATTACTATTATCATCGTTGCTATAAACACCGTTACGTAAATGTTACGTCCATTTGTGCGATTAACTAGGTGATTATCATTCGCGTGGACATAATTTGAGCATCAGAGACTATACGTGATGTATTCATTTGTTCGTTAGTCTGAAGCGAAGCACGTATATAGAGTGGAGGCTCAATGGGAAAAATAAAAATACCCCTGGTGTCCCGTACGTTGTGTAATCACTTTGATACCGCGAGCATAAATTCAAATGCGTTTATGGATGGTCAACTCTTTTGGGACACTTTTACGGAGCGATTCTTCGAAATAGCAGGCCGATAGGCAAACTTTGGTCCTGTAAAAAAAAAAAAAAAAAGGGCGACCCACCCCCCTCCTTCGGGCGATCGAATGCGAGCTTCTCTCGAAATAATTTCGAGCGCAGCCCCCAGGCAACAGTGGCGGGCGAACTGTGGAATTTTATGCGAAATCGATACGCAGCCGGGAGCGAGGCCGAAAGGGACCGCCAGATGCCACTCCCCGCCGCTGTTATTGCCGCTGGTGAGGGCGAAAGAGAGACGGTGGATGCACACGTGGACGACGGCAGGTGTGCACGTGCCGGGGGACAAAAGGACATTGCCCTCCGGTGAGTGTATGCGTATTTAGATTTTACTGGCTCTGTTCCCCGGGAACCGGATGACGGAGATGTGATTTTTGTGCACACATCCTGTTTTCTGGCCATACATTTTTTTTTTTTTTTTGTTTTGTTTATTATTAGTAATATAGCTATTGAATTATCTCGTAGAATATTGTTGTTAAGTTAATTTAGTCCACGAATCAACGCTACGTCCGTCGCGCGCAGTGACGTACACTTTCGTCATTTTTTCATGTCCGACTATAATCGCCCTTTTCTACTGATCCGAGAGTGGATTCCCTCGGGTCATCCGGGTCAGAATTTAATTGTACGTGGGCTGAAAAATCATCTGCATGCTTGTCCTGGGCTGAGAAACAAGACTGTCTACTTGCAGATCTTAAAGAATATTTTTAATTTCTTCTTTTTGCATGGAATCTAGTTTTATGGAAATAAGGGCTTATTTATTTCATTTTATTTATTTTTTAACTTTTTGGACACATCAATGTGGATCAGATTTAATTGGATCGTGAGGGTTTTATAGAGTTTGCAAAAAAAAAAAAAAATCCGTTCACCGAAAAAACGATAACCATGTGATTTTAGTTTAAAAGCACGGGCACGTGGATAAAAAATTCGACAGCACATAGCCAACGGGCATGACGCACTCGCGTGGCAAAATAGCTCGTTTGCCGGGGCTGATTGAAAAATTATGTCGCAACATGGGAATCCCGAAAGTGCGTCGCGGAAAAAGCCACTTTTCCCAGCAGGCAACCCTACACGCGCATCAACCATTTTATATACATGCATGTACCAGTAGCGTTGTCATTTCGTGCGTACACGTGCGCGTGCACTTTGCCGTGTACGGAGGAGCGCTCTATGCGCTTCATTTCACTCGAGCGTGGATATAGGTATATACATATGTGTATCTGCAGTATACGCAACAACGCATGCAAGGCTTATTTTACGCTCCCACGGATTACGGGTGCGGATGAGAATATTTTTCAAAAACTTTTTACCTCTCGTGTGCGAATGTGCGTGCGATTTTCCCCCCCTCTTTTCCGCAGGTATTTCGGGTATTTTCTCGTCACTCAACGCGTACGTGGAATATTTATCGGCAATCCACATGCACCGTCATTCCCGGAATTCACTGCCGATCAATTATACAGTTACACCGCGCCTAGTGCGAAAAACACAAGCCCCCGCATACCTACCGAAAAACACAGCGCATTACGCGGGAATAACAAGCGTACGCGAGTATCGAAAAAGCTCTCCACCTCGTTCCTGAATAAAAAAAAACAAAAAAAACCGACTCTCCATAGTACACGGCTGATAACCTCCTCACCCCCGTCCCTTTCAAAAATGCGCCGAGTGGTCCGTCCAATTTCATGTACATGCACACACGCGCGCTCAGTGAAACAAAACTTTTGCGGGTCCAGGTAAAAAAAAAAAAAAAAAAAAAAAAGAAGAGGTAAGCTTTTATACCGTGTACATACCGGCCGTGTGTATTCGCGCGTCCGAAATAAAGGGCCAAGAATGCTTTCGCACCCCCTCGAATACGTACGGCTGAAATTTGCATGCTTCCATTCGCAGACCACCTTTTTCTTTTTTTTTCTTTTTTATTCATACTCTGCTTCGCTGGAACGAGTTTCTTTTTTCTTTTATCTTCGCTTTATCGAACCAGCTCGTTTGGGGCTTTTTCTCGAGAGGCAAAGCTCTCGCGGGTGATTCGCTCGCTCCGGAAAACGCTTTGTACTATTATTTGGCTCTCTACGGTCTTTTTTTTTTTTTTTTTTTTTCTTGTGCTCTTATACATAGGACTAAGTGGTTATGAATCGAGGAATAAATTCATCGTCGAGGCCCGTAAAATTGACAGACCGTCTGGTAAACGACTGAATATAAATATGCAAATGTTTCACATGTGCACACAAGTCCGCACAGTTACCTCCTTGAAAGAGAAGATAACGCGAAAAAGGAAAAAGTCTCTCGAGCAAACGAGGTGGAGTCGCGGGAAAGCTCGCTGTCGTGTATGAGGCACCCGGGGGGGTTGATGATGCGCGAGCACGCGAGGTCAACGAGGGATCCCGGAATTTTGCGGATTACATTACCTCGTTAGTCATGTACACGTGTACTTTGTGCGCGAATTTGTTTTTAATGTGATCGGCCCTCGATGGTAATCAGATCAATGATGAAAAGTTTGGGACAGAGTTCAACAAGCGATCATCCCGGGGTGTGAAATAATTACTTGGCAACTCGAGGGCGCTCGTGTTTATCCGATCAACTTTTTTCTACCGTCCGGCATAGCATTAATCATATGCGCAAGGATTCACGGAGAAATTCGCAGGGACGCGCGGAAAAACAGGTAATACAGAGTGAAGCTCCTTTTGCCGTAAAAAAGCTCTTGATAAATGAAAAGGAAGGAAGGAAGGGCGGAAACAAAGGCAACACAGGGGGAAAATAAAGTGGAGCAGCAAGTAAAAGGGAGGCCGTGCCGCGAATATGCAATAGGCACGGCACCCGAGTTTACGAGCGACGAGGGGATTCCGCGACACGCGGACTATCTTCCCCGCACCCCGTAAACGCGCACTACGACTTTTGAGGTCGATTTTTATTATTGCACGCGGCTCGTGTTTTGCAAATTACCATGACGTGTTTCTTCTTTTTTTTTTTTTTTATTGTCCTCCTTGTCGCCGCAATTTTTGTTCAACGCGTACAACTTCGTTGTTTGCACGTACACCAAAGCCGAGGTTTTTTCCCTCGCGTCACGAAAACGACGGATGATTAATTATATGCTCGCGCGTGATTGATAAGCCCAGAGTTGCGAATTCAAAGTCACTTTGTACCTTCGCCAGCCACGGCGAATACAGGACGAAAGTAAACAACAACAACAACACCAACTTGTGCAACTATCCGAAATTCCCGTGAATACGGGGGAGCAATAAATTACCCTTTACTCGGAAACCGGAGTTGACAAAAAAGAAAAGAAAGGAGGGGGGAGAGGGAACAGACATAGGTGGAGAGGAGCGATTAGCGCGCGTACGGGGCAATCCCTCTTTTATCCATACCGCCGCGTATAACCAAGCGAGATTAGAGCCATAAGGTCGACCCTCGGCCCGATGTATAACTTATCGTCGTTTCTCAGCGCGCACGAGGATCATTAGCAGTTACGGTAGCCGTGGCGGAGCAGATGGACGTGTGTGTGTGCGCGAGAGGGGCGTACGATACACGCGCATGTATTTACGCGTTAACGACGTCGTTTGCGAGCGGCGCGGGAGTTTCGGACACGTCGCTCTTGTTTAATGGCCCGATAAAAAAATGGCCCAACGCGCGCGTGCTGCCACTCTTATTCATTTTTGGAGCTTCGCGCACCACTGTTTGTCCATCCAGGAGTGTGTATATTTTTGTATAGTGCACACCTCGCGTGATCGGGCTTGGTTTTCAACCACAAGGCTATATACACATTTATGCGAGCGCATCCACGTTACGCGAGACGAAACGGCATCAACAATAAAACTGGGTATGTAATTAATTAACGTCAAGGTAATCGTACCGATGCTAAACAGAAATAGAAAAGAATGCGTTAATTGGCAAAGCGTTTAATTAGCATCGACACGCTCGACGCGTATGTATATATATTACCGTAAAAGTTATCGCGCTGAGAATCGCACGAGATGTATGTATGGTAAGTAGGCTCCTCGAAGCACAGTAGCGAGAGAGCGCAACAATCCCATTTAAGAATGATTTTATAAAAGTATGCGTGTATTATGGATGGGCATTAAAAAATTAATTGAATTTCAGCCAGCGAGTTAACAATGATCGCGGTGATGGTACATTTGGAGCGCGAGGCATGACGCCCTGGTGTACGCGTACATATAGAAACAAAAGCCAAAAGAGTAGACGATGACTTTTCCCCGTAAACGCGCGCTATATAATTGCCGATGCATATATATATATATATATATATATATACGTACTGAGCCGAGGCATTGTGCGATGCGAGTGCGCGCTTGCGGGTGCGTGAAGCAGGGAAAAATTAACATCCGTCGGACGCGTCTGTCCATCTCCACGGCCACCTACGTGGCTGGCTAGTTTGATCTTTTCAGGATATGGGGAAAGAAAGGAGAGCGTGAAAAGGAGGAAGAAGAACAGGGTGGCACGCTCGTAGGATATCCAGCTCGTGCGCGACTGTTTACCGTGAAACGAGTAGGGGGGGAACAAAAAAAAATGTTGAGGGAGAGGTAGACGGATGGATGTATGGGTGTGGATTAATTCATACAACAGTATACGAAATTATCATTTCACAACAATACACCCATAGGTAGCATCATCATCATCACTTGGCACGCAACGATTTTTTTTTTT